GCAGAAGTATGCTCGGATCAACAAGAATGGAGTGATCAACAACTCCCCCGTCACCCATATAAAATGGCTTCCTGGGTCTGAGAACCTGTTCATAGCATCCCATGCCAACGGTGTGTTGGTGGTGTACGACAAGGAGAAGGAGGATGCTCTTTTCACCCCCGAGGTGAACGGCCATTCTGAGCAAGAGGTTGGACGGTTACCATTGGACATCCTCAAGTCTGTGAACTCCAAGAACCAGAAGACCAACCCGGTCTCATCTTGGAAAATGGCAAATCAGAAGATCTCAAGCTTCTCCTTTTCGCCGGATCAAAGGCATCTGGCTGTGGTTCTCGAAGATGGGTCGCTGCGGCTCATGGATTACTTGAAAGAGGAGTACGTTTGCCCTATTTTAAGAGAAGCGAACGATTCCCAGCTAACGCCTTCTAGGGTACTGGATATATTCCGCAGCTACTATGGCGGCCTGATCTGTGTCTGCTGGTCGCCGGATGGCAAATACATCGTAACCGGAGGCCAGGATGATTTACTGACGATTTGGTCTTTCCCCGAGCGGAAGGTCGTTGCCAGATGCCAAGGACACAATTCCTGGGTTTCGTCGGTAGCTTTCGACCCTTGGCGTTGTGACCAGAAGACATACCGGTTCGGCAGTGTCGGCGACGACTGCCGCCTCCTCTTATGGGATTTCAGCGTGGGAATGCTCCATCGCCCCCGGGCACACCAAGCCTCAACCCGGAATCGATCCAGCATAGTAGTGCCAAACTCTCAAACTGCCAGTCGCCACCGTGCAGACAGCGGCGACAACCGTGTGCGTTCGGACTCTAATCAAACCGATAAGTTCAACGAAGATATCGATCAGACGAGTCACCCAGTCGAGCCACGGTCTCGAACTGCTCTTTTGCCTCCGATCATGGTAAGCATTGATTGGCGCCTAAATCGCAAGCCCCAAAAGACTAACCGAACTATAGTCCAAAATTGTCGGCGAAGATCCTACATGCTGGCTTGGCTTCCAGAAAGATTGCATTATGACTTCCTCTCTTGAAGGTGTGTTTAATGACACTGTTTGTTATTCGGGGTCAAGCAATTCTAACATACCCACACAGGCCATATCCGCACTTGGGATCGACCCAGCGACAGCGTCGTGAAATCATGATTCTGCATTCGCGGTTTACAATCCACTTTCCTACTACAGGATGACTCGTTACTCCGTACTAACTGTATCATGTAATCGAAGTCGATTCAACAATCTTGGAAGCCCTGGTGGTTACCAATCGGGGGTTCGGGGGGTTTTTTTAGCGTGGCTCTTTTTCTTCGAACAACTATGATATCTTCTCATGTCTATATTACCTTTACATATCTATACATATTCATTATGCGTAAGGAATATTATCTATGGTCTTTTAAAAGCCAGTAGACGGCAACCCCAACCAAAAAGACCGCGCTCGAGGACTTTTGCCTACTGACGAACTGAACTTCTTAAGTCACACCATTTTTCTCTTTCACTCCTCTATTTGGCAACATAATTTAATATGAGTAGGGCAACAGCTAACTGAAGACTCGTTTAACAGTATAATTCCCCAAAAGTACAAAACATGCATAGCATTATCGCATTTCTCATTAATGTAAGGGGCATAATCATACGTCCATAGACCAAATCATTAACATCAACATCAACTCAACATCATCAAGCAAATAAATCATCACTGGGAAAGTAACCCCACTTCCACAATTCCTTCAACAGATAGTAGACTTTGCCCAAAAGAACTACCACAGATAACCAAAATTATCTCCAATTCATATATCTAAGTTCCCGGATGTCCAGCCGGCCAATTGCATAGAGCTGGATCACGAATGACCGATACCGGTAATTTAAAGGACCAAAGCGAACAGACCCAGAAGCAGACTGCCAGCAGGGGGCATGAGGACGGTAGCAGCGTTAGAGGTGGTACTAGCCGACTCGGTAGCAGTGGAGGTGGTGGTCGAAGTCGTCTTGCGAGTGGCGGTGGAAGTACTGCTCGAATGGGTTGCGGTGGACAGGCTAGTCGAAGAAACAGTTGAGACTGAGGTCGAGACTATAGATAGAGTCAGTGTCTGTCTCTTTCATGTAGTGGGTGAAGAGCAAAATGGTATCTCGGAAGCCGCGCTTTCCGTCTTTTACTAACCAGGGGTAGTAGTGGAGAGGTGGGTAGAATGGGATGTGGTAGAAGAAAGAGTGCTTGATGTGAGGAGCGTCGAGGTGGGGAGATGTGTGGAAGACTTGGTAATGGAAGTAGGAGTAGTCGGGGTAGCAGAGGAGTATATAGTCGAGGATGAAGTTGTAATGAAAGAAGAAGGTGAAGATGTAGATGTAGATGAGATTGAGGAGGAAGTTGCAAGTGTGGATATAGAAGAGACTGAAGAAGAAGAGGGAGCGGTAAGTATCAAGGTAGAAGTGTAAGAAGTTGTGAATATCGAAGATGAGGACGTTGAACGGAGATAAGAGGATATCTCAGGAGTGGGAGTAGAAGAAGATAGAATGGAATAGGTAGACGCACTTGCAGAAGAGTTTATAAAAGAAGACGTTGTAGGGGTAGAAGTAGAAGATGAAGCAGTAGAATAATACGAGGTAGGGGTAGACTGGCTGGTGGAGGAGTGAGTAGCAGTCGAAGACAGGTAGGAGGAAGCAGTCGAGGAAGATAGAGCCGAAGTGATATCACTTGTCGACGCGGCGGAAATCAAGGACGAAGTTTCAAGCGCAGTACTGGTTTCCTTACCAGAGCTACTAGCACTAGCACTGCTAGCAATTTCACCCGGCTCAGTGACTCGGAATTGCTGAGACTGGGCTAGAATGCCACTTTCCGGAGAGAGGAAGTTGATCTGGTATCCCTTTCTACGTTGATTATTAGGTCAGTATCTCGAAGGCAATGTATTCAAATTGGACCTACCCATTGTCTATGTCTGTGAATGTCTTTGCTTTGACGGTGTAGGAGCCCTTGGAAGAGTCTATGTCATCTGCCACAATGGTTGTTGTCGGAGGGTAGACATTCTGATTGACCAGTTCGATGCTGAAGGTCTCCGGGTCAGTTCTATTGATATTGCGTTTTTGTTAGCAGATGAGTTGGTGAGTGTGTCGGACAACTAGCAGCTTACGTGACAACCTGCCACTTGATCGTAAGGGGCAGATCTGGATCAATCTTCTCACCAATCCGTGGGGAGGTGACAGTGAGACCTGATTTAACAGTTAGATTGATTTATATTGCCCATAGGCAGATTTCCATACCTGCAACCGTAGTAGCCAGAGCCACCAAAGAGAGAATGTTAACCCGCATTCTGATTGGTCTCTGTGATAGCTAATATCAAGTGAAATAACTCGAGGAACAGTTGTCAATCTTGGAAGTTCGAGCCACAATATAATATTTCTGAGGTTGGAGGGAATCAAAGCCAAGGGCGACATAAGATGGGAACATCATACTTTATAGTCTCTATGACAGTCACAGGAGGCTGTATCTCTCACACAGGATCTTCTCAAATTCCAATGGTAATCTTTATTTCTGGGCTGATTTGCCGTGGTGCCTTGATCCATCACGACCCGTGCTCCCAGGTCTGTGTCGGAGTACAAAATAGTTTGGCGAGGACCAAGTTCTCTTGTCCCCGTGACTTAATCTACTACTGTGTTGCAGTCAAGGTGATCTAGAGGAGGGACTGTTGATTCTGTAGCTTGCAACTTGATTTCCAGCCCAGATAGAAATCTTTCGTCGATTCGATCCACAGTGTACAACGTCTTTAATTTTGACTGGCCGCGCGTCATACTTCCTGTCCGTATTGCAATGAAAAGCATTTTATAATACATTTTCTGTTCATGTACTCAGCGCAACCATGATCATTGGCTAGGGCACGGGACCCTAGGGTGACTGCTGCGGCCCGTTTGGATTCGATGCCGATTGCCAGGGATTCATGAGATGATTAGCTCCATTAGGGTATCTTATTGCTGGGGATGAATTGAGCGATCCTGTAGCTATGAAGACAACCTGAAGGTTGCATGTATACCAAATATCTTATGCTAATCAAGCTTATGTCGAACTATATATATTCGCATAGCTATACCGAAACACATACCAAAAGATTATTCATGATTATTGACTCCTATTACACTCGACAGCTTACTAAATGTGGGACAATCATCCCGAAGGTCTAAGCACACCAGAAGTATAGGATTCTGTGTACACTTGGTCGTTATGAGCGCAAGTAGGACAAAGCCAAGGGAAGAGGTGTTTCATAATTCCAACCCAGCTCCTGGTCCACACACGAAGATGAGATGGGGATGGTAAACAATTACCTTTTCATTCATTTTAAATCTACTAGTCTAAAGGAAATCTTGCCTTCAGAGAGGCTCTGAGATTTCCAAATGATTGCCTACGAGGGGTTTTGGAGTACATAAGGGGTTGCACGACGCAAGAACACAAGATCGGAACAGCACTCATTGGACAATTCCTGGGAGAGATTGAAATAGTCCAAATAGTATCCAGGTTACTTGTCGGGGCAGATTATTGTCTTGACTGTCATAACAAAAGGTCCCCGTTCGGTCTCGAGCATCTGTTTGTGCTCTCCGACACTTCCACTATCAGGCCAAGCTGGGTTTGGCTTCGCAGTGCATCTTGTCTAACCTATTGATGTTAATAGTCTCTGTTTGGATGTTCTGGAATTGACAGTCGTCGTCAGCAGTCTACGAAACATCATATATGACGTGGAAGTGTAAGGAAATCTAAATAGAAAATTGAGTATAGCTATGGTACGTCATTCGCCTTACGGATGGACTGGGAATCATCAGGATTTCTATTTTACAGTGACTAGAGGCATAAACAAGCCTGCATACACTAGAGATTAAGACAATTTCCAGCACCGTATTGATCACCTGTCACTTTTAGGTAACACGAAGAAATCCACTTGTTAGATCGTTCAACGCATAGCGGGGAATTTTCATGCATGGTAAATGCACATTGTGTTTTCACTTTGACCCCGGAGGCAACTTAACGCTGAAGCATGCTGCGACCTCCGTCAACGGTGATCCTATTCCGCACTCGAATGTGGGCGTAAGACGTTCCGAGTTGAATCACGCGATTCAAAGTAGGTTCATCTTGGGAGTTCGAGTCGGTTGTCGCAATCGGAGCGCTGTCTGCGGAGGACCGGCCATCTGGAATATCCGACCAACTGGAAGAGGGAGCACTCGAGAACTCCTCATTCTCCTGGTCGTTGTGCTTCGCGATGTCCAACAGGGCTGTTGGACAAAATACCAAAGCCTCTCCAGTTGGCAGGCGAACAATTTTGTGAAATATGGCCGACGAGGCTTTGGTGTCGGGGTTCTTCTCAATCCCAGCTCCCGCGATGTGTGACTGAATTGCCTTGAACCAAGCTGGCGATGAGAAGCGATGGATGATGGTCACATTGCAAAGTTCAAGCAGTGCTGGTGCAAGTGTTGGTTCCTGTGTCGCGATCAACACTCGGGCGGCTAGATGTCGCTGCTGGCGGACGACAGATAGCAATGTCTCTGTCAGATCGGCCGCTTCAGGTGAAGTGGAAGTCATAAACTTAATTAAATCAAGTGTCAGCGTGGAAGAGCATGGATGACTAAAGAAATTAGAAATGGTCCTCGAACCTTATGGGCCTCATCTAGAGCAACGATGCGACCCGTATCGTGGCGGTTCTTCAAAAACAAAGAAACTGAGATATTAAAAAGAGCGCAAGCATCTTCTTGGCCAACGAACGGGCAACTCAAATCAATGATTGTCAAACTGCCGGGAGGAAACTTCCAGATATCATCAGCAACATGTTGCTTTGAGGTATCGGGACTTGCACCAGGCACAGATCCAGGCTCGAAAAACGACTCCAGAACCTCCAAGCGCATATTAAGGGGCATAAGTTGGCCTTTAACGAATTGTTCGCGCTGGAGAAGAAGTTTGAAGGCGCTGTAGTTGAAGTCGGATTTGCCTTGGTTGGCTATGGCCATGTCGCGAAGAATCTTCATAACGACCTATGTGAGTAGTTTATTAGTACATTGATAGCATGAATGACATGTGCATTGACGTACCTCAATGTAGAGAGGCTGCTCAGCCCTGCTGCCGATGCCCATCAGGGTCTTCATCATGCCAATGTTTAGATCCTTCTGGGGCAGGTAGAGTGGCTGAACCTTCAACATTTTCGAACCACCTGCCAGTCCTTCGTATGCCTTTTTCATGGCAAGGTAATTTGTTGGCGATACCAAAACTCGAACAGGGATGCCTGAGGAATGAAGATAGGCTGCCTCGCACAGCTGCGTGCTGGAAAAGGCCGTGAACTTATCATAGTGAATGACAAGTCCAGCCAGAGGCGACGACAGGGTCCCAGCAGGGGAGGATGCGATCAGTGCATTCTCCAACAGACAGGACAAGGTGTGACTCTTGCCACTTCCTTGACTGCCACAGATGAAGGCAGACCATGGCGCTGACACGTTGGCGTATACAAGATCGTCTTGTGTCAGTGTGTTGCTGGAAGGTCGATTACGCATACCAAGAAGTCCATATTGCGGGAACGTTTGCTCTCCGTTGAGAGGTTGCTCAATATTCAAACGGTCGGTGTCCAGAGTCTCACAAGCAGAGAGAGAAAATAGAGGTGCCGTGATGAGCTCCTCATTAAAGCGGGGGTTTTCGCTTCTCAACGCTTTGGAAGCATCATTGGAAGCATCAATGTCACGTTTGACAAGATTCATGTGCTCCTCTGTCTCCGATGTGTTTCTACGAAGATGGTGGAGTGCCATGATGTCAAGTCATCACCCAAGAAGAGTTCTTGCCGGGGCTCTCTAAGGATTGAGGGAGTGTGTGGTAGAGAGGTATCGGGAATGGGAGATGGTGAGGGTTAAGGGAGACTAGAAAGAGGACAAAATGAAAAGATTGAATCAGTGTTATTGTAATCAGTGGACGGAGCATCGCGATCAGGTGTCCAGGCATCCAGACAATCCGGGATCAAACAGCTGTAGGCAAACATTAATTTATAAATTTTCAAGAACTAAGCTGTTAGATGAACTCTTAAGTCAACTAATTTAAGTGACTGTGAAAATCATCCACTATACTTGTTGACAGCTAAGATCGATAGCTCGTCATCCTAAAGAATAATATCCACAATGCAGAACCCTGGAGCCTCCCTGAGCTCCCAACTAGCGTGTTCACGAAAGGCATCTTTACAATTACTCGGAACACACACAATGGCCGAAAAGATCGAAGTTGTGGATCTTGGTCTCCGGATTGACTGTTAAAAGCAAGCGAAAATCAAGTACATTCTAAATGGAAGATTGAAAAATAACGACTAAAAACCCCACAAAAATGCAAGACAAATATGTAATTGATCAAATATTTTGTTGTCTCGGTATACTATAGAACAAATGTACCAGACGGGTCAAGTCTCGAGTCCTAGTTCTTCCATGATTTTGCCTATGCGAGTCTTCAGGAAATCCCTCAAATCCGGATGGATACCATCAAGAGACCTCTGAAACATTTCAGAGGTGAGCGTGACCCCCAGGTTTGTCAATTGAGAGATGATTTCGGTATTTTCCTGAACAATTGCGTCTTGCAGGATGGGCTTAACCCGAGCCATTTCAAAACCATAGTCAAGGATCAACTGAACTAGATCCCCGTCACCACCGAGGAGGGCAGCGTGGAGTGTATTTGGTGTGTGGTGTGACCAACCATTGGTGATAATCCCTCGAATGTTCACTCCAATCTTGTGTCCTTGAAGTAGCTTGGGTCGAGGTCTCTCGGGGAGTTCATCTGGACGCAAATCAGGAGCAAACCGCAACACGAACTCTGAATTTTCGTCATTCACATCCGCGCCCTCTTCGAGTGCATATGTGACGACATTCTTTTTGCGGTGCCAGAGTCCCTCGTACAGGATGATCTGCGCAGCGTCTTTGACGGTGAGGTTCCGATCCTTACGCTCGAGGAAAGAGATGAGAGCTTTGAGTACGGGTAAATGACCGCGAGCTGCAGCAATTTTCAGAGGTCGTCGTAGCTTGAATGCACCGGTGAATATGGCCTCGTCGTGGGAAAGCAACAGCTCAACAATGTGGACGTGGCCATTTCCTGCGGCCTGTCTCATCGGAGTTTCATAGTGCTCGTCGATCAAGTTGGGATTGACGCCTTGGTCAAGGAGAAGATGGGTGCAAGACAGCGAGCGGATTTCGGCTGCTGCGGTCAAAGGGTGTGATTTTGGGTGTCGTGGGATGACGTTCAAAACCTCGGGGGCATCGCGATCGGCCAAATGAGACCTGAATCTATCTCGGCGTGTGATCTTAGCACCGGCATTCAGGCACTTGTAAATTGTACCATGGAGGCCTCGCTTGGCTGCCCATAGGATAATGTAAGCGTGTTGATGTGCTGTACGGTTCTTGTACAGCTTGTCGTCGAACATGAGGGCAAATCGCGGGCTCGTGCGAGTCAAGGAATTGAGGTCTTTTAGGGAATCTAGGTCGCTCTCAATCATAAGAACGAGCTCGGTAGGTAGGTGAAGGAGAGACATGTTTGCTGGGGATGTGATAGTTGGGAGAAGAGGGAGAGGTTGTCACAAAGATGAAAAGAGCAAGTGAGCAAGAAACGGAGTGAAAGAAAGATGAGACATGGGCAGGTATATGAGAAGTTGAGATCTGATTGATAGCTCACTGACAATTGAAAGTGAGAAGATCAGATGAAGGCAAGCAACACTAACAATAGCAATCGAGGATTGCTCCGATAGCCAGTCTTGTTTGTCAGGCGTCTTTCACTTTATATTCACTTTCAATTGACCTTGGGGTTGAATTAGCACCTACAAATCATCTTGCTTTCATTGTTTCTATAGAATAGAGCAATAAACAGATAGACTATAAGATTTGAATCTAAGAGAGATGTGCTACGAGTCGTAGTATTGTGTCTTGGCCCTATATGACCGAACTACACCTTTTATTACCCTTTGCAACTATATAAGACTCTAGCTGTCTAATACCCAGGCTAATACCCAGGGCTTGAGACCATGAGTCTCATGTTTTACGTTGTCTTAACTGTGTTTGTCTCCATTTTTATTCGTCTCTATTGACTGTCTAAGCCTTGACAAAGAATTTGACGAGGCTTACAATCTACTTAGAATGAAATAGAGGCCTTTAGATAAAGTTCAGTTATAAACTGGAGATAAAGGATGAATGTATATTTCTCTAGTATTCCTTATCTATGTTCCGAACACTGTGAATTGTTGGAGGGTTCTATCCTCCAGCATATAATTCCTTGCTTGAGAGCTTAATTCGCTAACGCAATTACTTCGATCTCCAAATCAGCGGGCTTGGGTAGTCCACTAACTTCAACACTTGTCCTAGCCGGATTATGAGGGAAATACTGCTTGTAAACCTCATTGAACTCCTCATAGTCGCGATCCAAGTGAACGAAGATAATCTGGCTCCGTCAACATGCATTCCTGTCAAGTGATATTGGTATAATTATATATCCCTAGTACAATTGACTTACATTAGCCTTGATCACTTGGTCTAGGGAAGACCCGGAAGATTCTAGGATACTCTTGACATTCTGGATCATCTTGTGTGTCTTCTCGGTGACGGAGGCCTCGACCGGAAGATATTTGCCATTGCCGTCGGCAGCTACTTGGCCTGATACGAAGACAAACCCATTGCCTTTAGCAGCAGGGGACTGGATTGTTTATAAGCCAAGAGGAAAGGGTTTAAAGTTTCTTTGGTATACGTACGTAAGGAACACCGGATCGGGCTATTCTTGTACATTAGTTTCGTAATGTGTATATGTATATATATATTGTTGGGCGGTAGAATACTCACGAGGAGCGCAGCCTTTACCACCGAAGTGTGTGGTAATCTTTGAAGACGATGAGTATGATTTTCCTTGAGCCAAAGACCCAATTCTGTTGCCGCAGCACCATGATTGGTAGCTGCATGAACGGGCTCGAGGAATAACACGGCTAAATTTGAACATCTTGATGTAAAAGTAGATATTGATATGGAGAAATAGTACCTACGTAAAGGTAGGCAGCCTACATCCTTTATATGGCTTCCACCTATATCGGAGTCGGACCCATGATCCGATATTTTGGGCAATGGTGTATCCGATGGTTGAACCGGGGGATGGACCCGATATTCCCGCATTGTTCGTGATATTCGGGAGTGGATTGCGGCTATGCCATTGCACTTGAACTAGTGCTCTACTGTATTCATTACTTTCTCTTCGTAATGTTTCCTAATATCAGTAACTACAGAATTAACGTGAAAAATCTACATTGGGGCATATTGCACTGCTCTATATTCTCAGAGGCTAAAGATTGCATTGATCTGAGCAGTCACTCCGAGCCATAAGTTATTGATGTAGAATCTACAGAATGTAGGGACCTGAGAGTTATGAAGAAGAGAGTAGATTGCTAATGGTCTACTGACTATCTACTCTGGTGAGGGGTTGGTGCTTAAAGTACCCCTATGCAGCCTAATGCCACAACAAGAGTTCTCACTCGCCCGTTCTAGCTCCCGGGGTATATTCACACAATTCTGGTTCACAAAGTCACCGTGATAGTCAATAAATGCAACTTCCACCATTGACCGCAGTTGGGGGTCTGCAGTAACGGCCCATGCTGCTGCCAGACACATTATAACGTATCCTGCTCCAACGGGTCTGTACACATTGGACTTCTGGGCATGTATGAGAGTATCTTCAACAAGAGATCTCGATTCTATCAAGCAGGCGTAATCACTGGGATCTAGTGCCTGAAGGATGCCATTGAAATATATTGTGACTGCGATACCAATTCCATGGGTGCGGAGATAATGTGCTCGTAATATCCGGGCCATGAACGTTTCTGGCATAGTACTTAGCTCCGATGTTTCAGAGTCGACTGTTCGGGCTTTCAACTCGCTCAGGAGCAATTTGCATTTTTCGTATATTGGTCGGACTTCCATTGTCAACGGTGTTAAGTCTTCGCCGTCGCGTATAGCTTGTTTGCCGCGTTTAATTAGGACCGGAGCTCGTGCTAGACATCGCAAAATCTGGCCTTCGGGTTGGTCGTGATCAAAGTCATTCTTGACCAAAGCATCCCACTCCTCGGGGGTCAGGTCGATAGCATCATTGTATAAACCCTCGAATAACTTGGGGGTGTGATCAGCTTGGGCCTGGAACGTAGTAGGAATTGTGGGTGATTTACCACGCTTCCCCGTAAAGAGAGGAATAATTTACGCTCAAAGTCGTCCCGTGGCCCGAAGTTCTTTCGCGCATGTAGAATGCTGGCAGCCCCTTGCGCATGTCCTGACATCACTTGGCCGTTATTTCCGATGAATGTTTGGCAGACTAAAAGTATCATCACAGCACATAGTGTACTGGAAGCACTCGCCTGGAGCGGGTCATCTAGATATACTCTCAGGGTTTTGAGTGCATATGAATACTTGGCTAGTGCCTCGGTCGAAACTGGTTGACGGGTGCAGAAGCCAGCGTGGGCAGTGGTAACCGCATCAACTGCACGGTCGAGTGCTTCATTACTGCCGAGTCGTCGGGGTACATCTTCCAGGAAGATGCCAAAAGACCACCACAGATTGTATCGGAGGTCCGTGGATCGTTTTATGGCGCCGACAAACGAATCCATCAACGTTGTCATGCTATTGCCAGGACATGCCCGGGGTATTTCAAAATAATTTTTTTCTTCTTCGGTTGATCTCGATTTCGATATTGGAACGAGAGTCATTTGGTTGCTTTGGTTTGATTTGGGGGGAAATTGTTGTTGTTTGAACTTGAATCGCTGCTGACCAGACCCCACACAGCTCACTTTTAGACGAAGACATCGTCCACATGCAGGTTGTTTTTCATCGCACTTTAATCTTATTAAGAATACCACTGTGTGCCACGATTTTACCACACGTACCTTTTTCTTTTGCTTGCGGCATGCGTCACAGGCCCGACCTGTTGGGACACCTGGCATGGCGTGGGGAAGACCTGAGTGGGGGGGGGGGAGCGGAGGGTGGATCTTAAAACGGACACTGCAGGTCTTCAGGAATGTTTCTATCTAGTAAGGAGTACACCGTAGAAGGCTATGAAATCATAATATCTCGGACTCAGAAAGGATAAGGACAAAAAAAAAGAAAAAGCCCCAAACAACCAGGTTGAGGTTATTTGGCTGTGCAGTCTAACCGCTTTGGATTAAATGTACCGCTCCCCAAGGCTGAGTTGGGCGTCGTTGATTGGCCAGTTTACGAAGTGTATCCCGTCGAGTCCACAAGTGGAACATCAATGGGGCTGAATTCAACACAGCATCTAACCCGATATAGCCCTATCTGGCGCTTCATGGTCTGTAGATCAGCACGCCGGTGAGGGGGTATTTAAACATGCAATCACCCAGAATTCCCGTATCCAATTCACAATTCATTGGAGTTCCATCATGCCCTCAAATAAATCGGATGTGGAGGTAAACCTCTACTTGTATAATCCAAGTCATATACTACCAGCTGTCTTTGCCGCCTTGGTCGGCGCGTCTTTATTTCTGCATATTTACCAAAACTAGTAAGCATTTGGCATTTTGAGAAAACACCAAGTTTGTTCTAACGCCTTCAGCCGCTATCGATTCTGGCGCGTCACCTTCTTCATCTGCTGGGGTGGAGCCCTATTCACCGCGGGCTGGATTCTCCGCTGCATATCGAGTTACCATCCAGCAAACTTAAACCTCTATATCGCATCAACAGTCTTCATCTATGTCGGCCCACCAGTTTACTCAGCCGCCGCGTATAACCTCGTCGGGCGCCTCATGAACTACCTACCCATGCACGCGGTCCTAAACCCCAACCGTGTCCTCATCTTCTTCGTCTATGTCGGTGCAGCCGTGGAAGCAATTACAGTCGCAGGAGCTGCCAAGAATGCATCAGCCGGTTCTGACCTGGACAAGTACAGGGCCGGCGGGACTCTCATCGCTGCGGGACTTATTCTGCAAGCAGTGGTTGAATGCGTCGTGATTGGGGTCGTTGCAACGGTCCACGCCCGCTGCTCTCGAGATCGGATGCTCTCGCCAAATGTCCGTATGATATGCTTCACACTGTACGGGACATCGACTCTTGTCTTGCTGCGATGTATCTTCCGTGCGGTCGAGGCATTTGAAATGTTTGGTAATCTCGGCTGCCGGGAGAACTGCGGGTCTATTCTCAGCAAGGAATGGTATCTATATGCATTTGAGCTGGGTCCGATCCTTCTGTTTACTTGGTGGCTTAATATGATGCATCCTGGTCGGCATTTACCTCGCCAGAAGCTACGCTATCTGTGTCCTGATGGTCGCACGGAGCGAATGGGTCCCGGCTGGATTGACCGCCGCTCTCAGTGGGAGACTTTTGCCGACCCGTTGGATTTGAAGGGGGTGTTCAAAGGTGCGCCTTCACACGAGAAGTATTGGCTGCGACAGGATGAATGGCCTGTGTGCAAGGATGGTAGCTTTGCTATGGGAACTGCTACCAATACGAGGGCTGCAAGTGAGGATGAAAAGGACTTGGTTCTACTTAGTCCTCAGGTTTAACGAACGAATGCGGGGCATAATTTGATGAATAAATTTAATTCCTAGGTTCTCCTTTTTTGTACAAAGCTTTTCTTTCCCCCCAGAAGTGAATGACCGTTGAAATTTTAAGGTGGACTTAAAATCGATCCCCATTTCACTCGAATGAATTTCTTTATTATATTACCCACATACAGGGTTATGAGACATACTAAATTGGGCCTTGGCCCCAAGAGACTAATTTCAGGGCTACCTTGTAAGCTTACCTGGCCGAAGCTTTTGTGTAGTTAGGGCCGGGAAAGCGCATCAAGTGCGTCAGGAACAGTGGCTAGAGTCTAGGCGGTCTGTCTCTCACATCGGATGAGGCGTATTGTATATTGGGGATTTTTTTCAGGCACGAAGCAGATGACATTGCATGTGAAATAGTGAGTGATAAATACATTCGATCATCATATATACAATTGTTGCAGCATGGCATTTAGTATTTACAGCTTGGCTTGTTCAAGCGGGCTCAATTTCCTCAGTGGGGGGCCTCCTCTGCTCCCATCGCCTGCCATGGATCCCTTTGAGTCACCCTGGGGCGTGGTCATCCTCCACTTTTGACGTAAAGCTTCGGGTGCTCTGTTCTCAAAGCAGTCCACGATATATTGGCCCAAGATAGGGAGGAATTTGAATCCACTAAACCGAAGTTAGTTAGTATAAAGCCACAGTGTGCAAAGTGGCAATGTAGATCAAAACTTACTGTCCTGCACCACCAGTAGCCATGAACAGTCCCGGGATGGTTGGGTGGTGGTCGATAATGAAATCACCATTGGGGGTATCCGTGTACCAACACAGTCGACGGTTCATCCAAGGACGATCCCCCAGCTTGGGGAAGAACTGACGCAAGCCTTGTCGCAGCGATTCATCCGCGTCATCAGGCAAATATCCAGTGGCAGCATTGCTACTTTCGAACTTCGGCGATGAGAGCGACTTCTGAACACCGTCCACATTGACAGTGATTTCGGTTGCATACCCATAACCATGGCGTGCTAGCTTGAGAACATGTGTGTCCGGTGTTGGCGGGAATGAGAAGACGCCGGAGCTCATGTTGATCATGACCGGGATTTTTCTCATCTCGAGAGCCTCCTCCTCGGTCAACTGGATGAAGCCGACAGGCTGACCAGATGAAGACGCCGCATGGCCCATGTTTAATAGACGGTTAGTCCACGCTCCGGTGCTTAAGATCACCTGTGAAGCAAGCAATACCTGCCCTCCGACAAGGTTGACACCAACAACGCGGGAGCCCTCCCGGCGGAGCGAAACAACAGTACCGCGAGGCCCGGCAATGATAGAAACACCCGCCACGGTACACTTGGAAGCAAGCTTTTGGATGCTCCCTCCGGCATCGGCCCAGCCACCTTTCGGATTGTGATATCCGTTCATGCCGGAAAAATTGGCTTGAACGCTAGGGTAGAGTTTGCGGATTTCCATGGCGTCATCAAGATCGTCTAATTTGCCACCTGCCGCCCGAATCACAGCTTTGGATTTCTCCATGTATGCGTTCTTAGGCGTTTCCGAGAACAAAGCGAATCCTGATTCGAAGTATTGATCTTTGTACTCAGTGGTCCATCCATTGTATGCCTCTCGAGCCATTTGGGAATAGATTGGGTCCGCATAGTCGGCGCGAATAATGCGCGATATGTCAACGCTGCTTCCATCTGCTGATGGTGGTACAAATCGATCGACAACAGTAATATCTGTATATCCGCGCTTGTTAAGTTCAAGAGCGGTCGAAAGACCGAAAACACCGGCGCCTACGATCAGAATTGAGTCAGTCTTAGCTGTGGTCATTTTGAGCGACAAATCAGTAGCCAGACAAATGTTGTCAAACTGGAGTCGGTTGAGCGATTTCTAGGATTATAAAATGTAGAGATGTAGGTAAGAAGGGCCGGTTCAGTACCGTCTTGGCGTTCGGAAAAACCGGATCCGGTCCGTGTTCCCCGGATGAGAACGAATATCTAAATCCAACCTCACGTTGGGTTAACGCTTAGCCAATCCTCAAAAGCCCTCCCATAATCTTGAAGCTGCCGGAATAAAGTATCGCTCTCGCTAAACTCCATATTAGCGTCCCCCGGGAGTTCTGAAAAGTCCATCCTCGGTGAGGTCTGACTCGGCGTTTGCATGGGATCCTCAGTCTGCTCAGGTGGATAGGTGACACACTCCGGGGCCACTGTCTTGTGGCCGGAGATTCCAGCGGATCCAATCAAAGTAAAATCACGGTCGGTGATGGCGCTAGCGGAAGGATCCCCTAAGCATCCGACACTGTCCTTGGCAAGTTCGGGGCCGAAGATGTCGCTAGCAGGATCTGATGTATTACTTGCATGGGCATAAACTAAGATTTTCCACAATAGCTGCGAGTTCACAGACCACTTCTGACGAGAATTGGTTCCTCCTGGGGCAATGCTGCCTGTCATAAGGCCTCCGGAGGAAACGCTGTCCCGGAGTTGTTGTAGTTGTCGGACCTAGAGGCTACATCAGAACCAATGAATCAGAGCAACAGCTTGAGGAAGACCAACCTGGCGATCGATGTGTGGCCATCGATGACTCATGTTCCGTAGGAATCTAAAACATTTCTCAAATCCCGTTTGCGCCTTTCTGTTAAAAGCTTCATCCTCAACAAAGCTATGTTGAAGATAGATGGTAGCGACAATTGCCACGCATTGCCCTATGATAGGGTCAGATACCTCGAAGTTCTTTGCCTCGATAAGCTCGAGGAAATAAACAACCCAGCCAGAGTGGAAGGTCAGCTGCTCGAAAGAATTGCGGAGGAATGACTGAGGCATTGTCCTCCGGAAGTTCCGAAGTCGCATGGACAACAGAAATGGATGGTTTACTAAACAAGGCACCGCATGCCAAACCAACTGGAAGAATAACCACGGGCTCCAGTAGTCGCGATGAGTCTGGAGTTCGGCAGGGGGATGATCCTGGAAGCGACTTGCATGAAGTCGGAACCTCAGTGGCATGAGACTCTCATGCTCACAGTGTCGGAAATTGATCATGGTGTAATCAGAGTTTGGAGACCACGGGGGATGAGCATCAACGCCAATGTGGCTGGCGGCATAATTATTTGCCATCGCCCACAGCTCGCTTGTGTAAACACTGGTATCATAGATTCCAATGTCTAGCTTGGGGTCACCGCTGTTATCACGGGCAAGGTCTTTATTGAATATCATGGCTCCCAATGGAGAGGTGATTTCACCTGCCTCTGCAAGTAAGTCCAAGCTATCTCCAGGTGGATGTAGAGAACCCTGGAGATTCTTAAGCATGAAGAGGCTTACGCAGCAAAGCTTGCGCTCATCACGCTCGGTTTCCAAATTGCTTACAGACTCTAGGCCACTTATTCTGAGATTTCTCATTAAATATGTGGCAAGTCTGGTATAAGACCCCGCGCGAATGATATGGCCCGCTGGAAAGATGAAACACAATGTTAGAAATGAACACAAGGACACAGGTCGGGACTGCTTTACCTGTAAATTCCAGCATACTTAGAAGACAAAGCGTCTGAATCGTAGATAGCTCCACAGTCCCGGATGCTAAACGCATCATGACCGTCTGACAAGCCCTTTCTGTTTTTTTCTTGATTTCTAGTTGTATGTCCTGGTCAATGAGTCCTGGTCTTTTGAAGCGGACACCAAGAGCTTCAATTGCAAGTAGAAGCTCGGGGTCCCGCTTTCCCAGGGAGGCCAGAGAAGATCTGTTGGGGAATAACATAAGGGGCTGCGCGTTACAAAAGATTAGGTACAGCTCAGCATCTGGGACACCAGATGATCTAGCTCTATCTAATTCGTCAATGAAGGTCTCCTGCAAGTAAATTCCATATTGGACTCACATGGAAGAACTCTCCGGAGGTGGAAATTCTGGTATCTGAGGGTTATTCTCGGGGACAACTGGTGAAGAGAGATAATTTGAGGTAGGTCGCCTGCGACCTTAATTAGCTAAATAAGACATAATATAGTGAAGATTGGAACACACGTAATATATTCCATCAACTGTTCTAGTTTCCCTTCAATGCCGGAAATGCGTTGTTCCTATGCCACATGAGAATCCGCTTAGGTCTAGGCATCATTGATACTTACCATCATCTTCTGAGAGTGACCGAAGCCTTCCTCTCCATTCTCCGTGCCTGCATACACGCAGTGTTGGCCAAGTCGCTCGCAGTACGAGCAAATCGGTTTCTCTCCTGGGCAACGCGACTTTTTCCGGCTGAAGCAAAGTCAGCTTAAATTGCCTCGAAGCTTGTGGCACCCAATATTCAAGCTCACCGACATGGCTCACAAGCCTGACGGGCTCGTTTTGATGGTCTTTCGTCTTCCGTTGATCCCATTTTACATATCATATCCTGTCACCACGAAAAGTGATGATCTAAGCAGTTTCACGTGAATAAAACGTCGATCCAAGGCGGGGAACGGGTGTGGGTCCAGAAAATACAGGCAAAGTACAATATAAATATTGTAGCTTCTCCAACTTCTCTTCCATATTTCTCTGTCTAGCCTGATGCGCTATAGCTGTAGATGGAATAACAGGAACAAACGAGAACTCAACCAGACTCCAGTAGATGACGCATGGGTTTGGTTGAGACATCTTTCGGCCCAGTTCTCTTACTATCACAATAATTCCCGAGGCAAATGGGAGTCCAAAGTGCAATTGAATGCTTATTCTATTTCGAAGGATAAATAAAGATATCAGCATAAATTATTCGATTGCAAGGTATCAATTGCTAGGATGTGTCATAGTAATCTGCTCGTCACATCCAGATTTTCGTGATGAAGTGGTCCCGTCTTGTATATTATGGGCGTATATACACGGTGTGCTATACATAGCACTAGGGTGTACCTATGACCTGAGTGATAGTAGACTCTGTTCAACTCTGCCTTTTCGAAGATCTCATGAAAATGTAAAATGGAAAAAAATGTAAATTTCTACATAGTGAAGATCGACGATCATGTGATCTGCCACTGAGCTGACGTCGGCTCCAGGCTTCTGGCCACTCATCTCCGCCTCCTCACTCATTGCTGTGACAATCCTTTGATCCCTGCGAGCTTTACATCACTCCTAATAAATACCCGGAAAAGATCGAGGGAAGCTTGGAACTATCCAAAATGAGTGACGCCTACGAACGTGAGCAGTACGTCCCCCTTTCCCCACATTGTCCCGTCGGGTGCCTATACGAAAGGAATTATGTTTCGATTGGAGTGCTAATCTTTTGAAACAGGCAGAATAATGCGCTCCTCAATTCACTCTCCTCGAAGGTCTCAGCCCTCCGCTCCGTGACGATTGATATCCATGACAATGCTCGGGATCAGGACACCCTCGACCATACAGTATGTCTTGAACAATATTTCGCAGTCCCGATAATGACCCAGGACATTTGCTTGTCGCTTGGAGATACTTTAACTGGCGCCTCGACCGTGATAACTTGCGACTGACATTCCTGCCTTCTTAGAGCGATGTATTTTCCTCCTTCTCAACAAACCTCAAAGGTAGCGCCACTCGACTCACGCGGATGGCGAAACAAGGCGATTCCGTGGCTGTGCTGAAGATTGCGGGCATGTGTATTGCCGCTGGAATCGCTCTCTATATCATTCTTGGGTGGATTTTCTGAAGGACTTCTTACGTCCTTACAACCTGCTGCTTCCTCGACGCCCTTTTACCTCCGTCCGGCTCAATATTCGATACCCTTGCTGGACCGAGACTCGTATCGAATATTTATGATCTGATCCTGTCATGTTATTCCATGGTGTTCGTCCTATGCACCGCATCTATGCTGTGCTCGATCGTAATATGAGGTGGCACGTTGGTTTGCAGTGTATGCTCTGCCCTAGGATTTCCCCGTCATTTTGGATACACTCAGTGTTCTATTTTTGGGCTGTGCCTGTTATAGACGTTGGTGCCCAAGACCGTCGGCAGCGCGACTTCTACCGCCTCCTTCGACCTACTTCGATTGACCCTTGACCGCTAGGTTCTCTTGATTGATGTCTTCATGATTTGCAAATCAGCCCAAGTGGCTCTGATCTCTTCCTCGGAGCGGCCGGCTTCAAACCTCACTGCGACTTGACATTTCTGCTTCTTCCCATTTTCCTTGTTATCAATACTGTGATTACTGAACATAATGCATACTTGGCCCACTAAATACATTTCATTCATGCTCAAGTATCCACTCGTTGCGTAATTGAAGTACACAATGGCGCCCGTCGGTTCCTCCAGTACCCTGGCAGCTCTAGTGACATCACCACCAGGTGATTCATCCCAGCATGATATATTTAGATCAACGACTCCAAATGTCTACTCCACCAAAATCTAATTGCCGATCGTGAGGATCGTGGGTTTAAGCTCACCAAGGTCGTGGCCAAAAGCTTTATCCAAAAACGGAAACCAGGTAGTATAGATACAATGAAAGTCCAATTCAGACTTTTTCTTCTCCCCGCTTTTTCTCGTCATGACTCCTCAGATTAGATGTAGGAGTTGACTGCCTGGGGAAATTTTTATTTATTACGCTGAATATTTACTCCGTTGTGTTGTGTGCCACATTTCCACGTGTTGATATCACAACGCCGTTTTCGGCAAATATGCCTTGGAATGCCAACCTAGGTTCAGCGAAACCAATCTCATTGAAAAATACCAAGCTTTCTGTTTCCCCACAATCAATTAAGGCTACATACCTCATTGCATCTTATTGGCTCCATGGCCACGACCCGATACAGACCTCGGGAGTGTACCATGTCATCAAGCGCCGAGTATCAAGATCCGATACGGCACCAACGGACGCTACAGCATTACCCCTCTATTACCCCTCTAGCAGTGACTCATTCATCGAGATTGGAGGTGGGGGTAGTCCCATGGTGGACAATAAGAACACTGTCGTATGACCTGTACAATAAGTACATCCACTTGTCTGGCCTGTGCAGATATGCTGGATGTCGAGGTGGCCTTGCGATTTTAGACTCCAAGCTCGTCACGCTGGATAAATGTACTGAATTCCGACAGCCGAGGCTCCACACCCATGACGGCATTGAAAATCTACCGATCGAAATGGAAATCTTTCTCTTGATGTAAGCTAAGCAGCCGGGATGTAGGCAAGGGTCTCGCTAGCTTCGATCAGCCCTGTGAGTAGCTACGACATGGCCGATTGTATGGAATTGACGGGTGTTCTTGGGGGGTTTTGAGCAGTTTTTGCAGTGTTGATTTGCAATTGCAAATCTTTTGTTTTTAGAGATGATGGATGTTTAGAATATAAGAGCATAAGAGCATTGAAATGACCTTGGCTCTTTGGATCATTGACATGAAGTCTGATGTGTATTGATATCATTTACATGCCAGACCAGATCTAGACCACGGGAAAAGCCGAACCAAAAAGACCCGAGACAAGACCCTGACCGGCTAAGCATGTGGTGTGATTCTTGCATACAATTGGCCCAAGGCCCTCGGTGCAAAAATTCTCTCCCGTCCATCTTGGCAGTCGATCCACGATCTTCTTTAGTTCCCGCTCTAAACATTGTAAGCTCGCCCCTGGCGATCACCGGAAGATACATAGCCATATCCTACATTCGGCAGAAGAACTGCCGAGAAAGGATTTGCAGCACTACTGCGCTTGAATGTCAATAATTGTCTCTGTTAACCGTCTGTGTATTAGGTTTCATAACTCTGCTTTTTTAAGATGTGTTGGTTCTTTCAATTCTTTTTGGTGGGGCAGATCTTTCGCGATATAACTGTATCTAGCGATTATTATTGGTACGTGAAGGTGCAAAGACCCTCCAAAGACCCTCTGCTTCTTATCTGACCATCTCGAAAAAAAAAAAAAAGAATTAACCGGACTGATAAGCTGCGCTCTAGGGTCGATTGAGGCGTTGAATGATATTTAGTGATTAGCTGCATTTGCTCTTTGACTTTTGAAAAATTGGAAATGGCCTGATGCAATGTACATTTTATGTTTCAAGCGTGTTTTTTACATGCAGGCTGCATGTTGTACAGTGCGTTTAGCGGTGTAACATAGCTAATAGTTTGATAAAAAGATGAGATGAGTCAATCACGATGACGACATGTCTTCAATAATTACACGATATCTATTATTGTACGTTATCTACACACTGCCGCACTGCCGCACTGCCGCGTAAACAAAAAGTGTCCACATTATTGGCTTTTCTTCGGCATGATGCAATCCGGGCAAGTTCTGGAACTCACCGAGAATTTCATAGTGGAGGGTCTGCAAAAGTTCACCGTCGATGATCTGCTCGGAGTGGGGCCGATTATCCTTGAAAAATTGTATGTACATAGCTTTTGACCCTGGTCGGTTTTGGTGCTTTTGGTGCTTTTAGTGCTTTCTAGACCTGGACTGTCCTGATTGAGATATAGTGATTGTGGCTTCCCTGCAGAGTTCAGACTCTTAAGATTCTAGACTCGAACCAAAAAGGCTGCTCAGTTGTAAGCTTCGAAAATTGACCAGAGTAAATCAAAAAATTAGGTTAGTGCGGGTCACTATAGGAATGGATATTCTTGCCCAGGCACACTGTAAAAAAAGATAAAAGATAAAAGATAAAAGATAAAAAATTAAAAATTAAAAATTAAAAACCAAGTTTTCAGCCTAAAATATCACACCGAGAAGCCCAGTATATAAAAAAAAAAAAAAGGCGATTAACAGCACAGACACTCGGGTAGCCTACTGAATCGGCACGTATTCGGAATTCCGATCCGGTGAAAAGCGGAAATGCCCGAGTTCCAGTTGAAGCATCCCGACTAGGCCCATGGTCGGCATTCATCATCACCGGGAGCAAACCGAGTGCTGGCCTTCATACGCTATATCCAAATTACCCGAAACAAGTCCGCCGAAGTGGGTCACATAAGGCAAAAAGTATCTCAATGGGTCTGTGTGTTATTTTTTTGCCTGAGACCTTATCTTTGTTTAGTTTCACCAAGGTTCCTCGAAATGCCTCGCAATAGTTCTGACCCGCTTTGAACCTATCACAACGCCACGGGCATTGACAGCTCAGTGGGGGTCTGGTTATCATAGGTGGTTCCCGCTCTTACCGCAATGCTCATCAGGGACTCGAGTGATATAAGTGTTGGGTTACTGTAGGCGGTTAGATCACGGATATTTCCGAATGTTCCCGGTGAGATTAAGATGGGCTAAGCTTGCCAGGTTAAAGTCAAAGGCGATCTCATGCATCAATTTATGCGGTTGGGATTTTCAGGCACGGCGCTTGCATGAAGATATGGTCCCATTTGAAGAGTTGCATTTGTCAGTGTGCCTAGGCAATATCGGAGTTTCTCCCTATTAGCGTCAACGGGCGGCAGTTGGATAAAATATCGAAATAGCTCGAAGGTCCAAGCCCCAAGGCATCCTTTTTGTTTGAGTGGCGCGATCCAGAGCCTGGTAGATGTCTAAAGGTATATGTGCCGCGACTGGTTGAAGACACACCCGATGGAGTATAGCTAGGCCTTGGTACGGAGCATAGATCTCCTGTTTATCATCAAAGTGGGGTCTAATTTGACACCAAGTTCTGAAGTATGAAGTAGATCACTTCATGTGGTGTAACTCCAGAGGCATAGGTACGCTGACGTTGTGCATTCTCAGGGATCTTAAAAGCATGCGGGAAGGGCGATCCCGAGGTATATGCAACATTGCATGGCGTGATGAATGAAATGAGTAAATGGACCTCGGTCGTGAGTTGAGCGGTTTCATTCATGTATGTTATATTAATCAAATTTAATTCTACATACAGAATGAACTGCATTTAATAGTAAAGAGACCAAATAATGACCCAACCGTACGCGTACTCCGTACACTCCCTACTCCAGAAGGAATAGTGTGTACTCCGTAGAGGTCAGACATTCATATGACAGCGCTGACGAAAAAGAACAGGGTCTTATTTTGATGTGATTAACCGGTTAAGACGGTTCTAAGGTTCTTCAGAAATCTCTCAAAAACGCTTTAAAATCCCACTGATTCCCCTCATTACATTGTACGAAGTACACTTTTCTGTTCATTATATGCCAAGACAGCCATTATCGTGGACCTATTTCCATTTGAGATTAGTCATTTCACACGCCACATGAAGAAATAATAAAAAAACAGAAAAACGAAAAGAGAAAAAAAGAGAAAAAAAAAGAAAAGAAAAAAAAGAAATCGCCGGAAACGGCAGCCAACTCCACTGACCCATGAGTCGGACCAGCCTTGCGTATCTGGCCATGTTCCGGTAGATCAGCGATAGAGAAAAAACGGAAAAAATACCGGTACACTTTATCTTTTTGATCTCTTTATTCTTGACTCTTCTCTTTCCTCTTCATATTTTTTATTCCCCTTGACAACTCTCCGCCTATTGCTGGCGAATACCAAGATGGCTCTCAGCTTCTTTAGTGGCGGCGGGAGCGCCAGCAGTGCGAAGTACTTCGACATTAGGTGAGTGCGGGACACCTGCAGCACATGTGAACTGCATATCTGACTTCATCCAGGTTGAATGATGAGTATATCGTTTTTCGTGGCGGTGAACATGAAGCCGCCAGTGCCCATCTGCGGGGCACTCTGATCCTCTGTTTGTCCGAGCCGCTCACCATTAAACACATCCGACTCCAGCTTACGGGCATGTCCCGCGTTTGGTATGTGTCGGGTTTCCCCTATTCCGAAGAAATATCACTAACAAGCCCTTTTCACAGCTGGCACCTTCCCTCCAGTGCATCCGCCGGTGGCCGTAAGTCATGGCGTGAACGTGTGTTCTACGAGAAAACCTGGAGCTTCCGGGACCCAGGCAAAGGAAAAACCGAGGTCCTCCCCGCAGGCAACTATGAGTATCCTTTCGATGTGATCCTTGAGGGCTCCATGCCCGAGAGTGTGGAAGGTCTTGCCGAGACGTGGGTGATGTATCGCTTCAAGGCCGAGATCGGGCGCAAGTACGTCAAAGACATTACTGCGCGCAAACCGCTCAGGATCATTCGGACTTTAGATCCCAGCGCTCTAGAGCTGTCACATGCAATGGTAAGTGGTTATCGGCTTAACTGGCATTATGGACTTTTACTGATAAATTTCCCAGTCCGTGGACAATATTTGGCCCAACAAGATTGAATACTCCATCAGTACTCCGACGAAAGCCATCGTCTTCGGCACCGCCATCCACGTCGATTTCAAGTTGATCCCCCTTCTCAAGGGTCTTCGCATCGGTCAAATTACGTCACAGTTAATCGAAACACACGACCTTACCCTCAATCCGGAAGACCCCGATTCCATTCGCAACACATACAAGACCACACGGACAATCCTGACCGACGAGCATGAGTTAGACGAGGACAACATTGAAATCATCGACGAAGCAGCAGAAGGATACCAATGCTCGCGTGTCCTAGACATGCCCCAGACCTTGACCCGCTGTCTGCAGGATACGGACACCAAGGGAATCAAAGTCCGCCACAAGTTGAAGTTCCGTATACAGCTACACAACCCCGACGGCCACATCAGCGAGGTGAGTAATAGTAGAACCACTAACGATTTTTCTGTGAGGCTAACATCTCAATGCAGCTCCGTGCTACGCTGCCAGTTTCGATCTTCATCTCACCACACCTTGCCATCGACGACAACAACAATCTTACCGGGCAAACCCCTCAATCTACCCGGATTGCTGTCGATGAGTTCGCGCACCAGGCGCCTCCCCTTTATGGCGAGCACACATTCGATCAGCTGTATAGCGAGCTGGATCCCAGCGGCTATCGCACACCAGGTCCCGGCAGTGGTCCGGGCACGCCATTCACTCCCCTCAGTCGCAACATATCGTCAGAAAATCTCGCCTCGATGAACGCCTTGACCAGCACGGATATCTCGGCTTCGGCACTGCACCATCGTCTCATAAATCTGAACGCAAGTCCTCTCCACCATTCCGTCAATACCGGTACATCCGCTCCGAGCGAGGGGCTGCACGGGCTCCACGGATCTCAATCCCCGACAGACGGACACAACATTAGTCGCCAATTGGGTGTTTCTAATGACTACTTCGGAGCGGTTTCCGGATCCAACTCACACAGCCATGGCAGCCCAGAACTCTCCCGTCGGCCATCCGATGAAGTGGACCCTGAAGTCCTTCCCTCGGGCATGGCAACTCCCTTCCACCCTCAGTATGACGAGGTGGAAACCCTCAGCCGGGTTCCCAGTTATTCCACTGCAGTGCGCTGCGCCGTGCGTCCGCGTGACTCTGGTCTCCCTGATTACAACGCCGTGATCGCTAGCAGCCTTCCCACCCTGTCGGTTCCGCAGTCTCCCCAGCAGGCTTATATCCGCAGCGGCCGTACAAGCGGAGCTGCGACTCCCCTAGAGGTGCCTACCCGCTCCGGCTACTTCAATTCTCACGGCACCGTTGCTGATGATGAAGAACGCAGACTTAGACTTGTGCAAGCTCGCGCCAGAGCATGAAATGTGGTCATGATCCTTGGATTCATGCATGATCTTCCACCTTCAATTTTCACCAAAAGTTCTCCTCTACCGGTGCTGGACACTGAGACCCCCGCGAATCGCCCTACCCTTTAACCCTTCTTCGACCCTTTTTCCCTCTCCATTTCCTTCCCCTCTCCCTCATATCCATTTCTACGAATGATCACGGTCCCCAGCATTAAGCACCCCTTTCGAGCCTCAGTCTTGATCAATCTGGAACTTCCCACGCAGCATTGTCCTGAATCTTTCTACCGTTCATCTGCGGCAGCTTCCCACCTCTTCTTATTTCTCTTTCCCTTTTTCTCCATCATTTTTCCCCTCTGGCGTTCAATCATAGACGGAGGATATTTTCATAGAATGGTCACGGGTGTTTTGATTTTCCTCCTTGTTTTTTTTTTTTTTGATATCACGAATGAGATCCGATATCAACGAGCTGCATGTCATTTAAAATATGCCCATCAGCACGAGTCACGCATACGAGCCTTTGACGCATGTACTTAATTATTTCTTGTTAGACCAAACTCTTCAATTCGTCAATGCTCAACAGATTTGACTTCAATGATATCATGTCCCGATTAGGAAATTAGCTGTCGATCTCATTAGGTAATCAATAAATCTACCAGGTCCGGGCCCAGGTGGCCTCGGAGGACTCTACTTCTTCCGGTGCCAATGGCATTGTTCGCTTTCAATAGATGGAACATTGGAGGTTCCATTGGCACATGGCTTTTACCGGTTCCGAACACCATGGTCCCATACATTGTGTGTTCTTCCTGGGCTTTATTAGTAGTCAGGAGGTTAGAGTTGGAGGCTATAGTTACCCTGTTCTTGGTAGCAAACACAACTTGAGTATACTGTAGAGCCAAGATACTGTTACAGTTTCAATCAACTTGACATAATAAGGTTGGAAATAACCTGAATATTGGGCGAACATAAAGCCACAGCACGTACTAAGGTCTAACAGGGGTTACAATGTGGCTTGATGAGCGAGAGGGGCACAGTGACCTCATTGGCGTCTGTCGATCGGTTAAGAACACAATTCTCGCCTTAATCTTTCTCGGCCCAAAGATAACCTTGGAATATCCCACATCGTGCAAACTGCTAATCGAATAACACTGGTAAGTTGCTCGTCCTCAATTATGGATCTTTGCTAACTAGTCCGGCCATAGACTAGCGCTCCCCCACCATCGGCATATTGGTCTTAACACCGCCACCGATTCTAACATCCCCCCCAAATTATTCATTTAAGCCACACCACCACTCTTCCGCCCTGGTTTTGGCGAGGATAATATAATTTCACTTTGCATTGTTCATTGTCGACACCTTGAATTGGATCTCGGAGTCGCCGATATACCTTACCCCGCCCTCTCTCCGCAACCATGTCCACTCCTGTGAGCCCCGCGGATGTGAAGCTGCCTCAGCGGTCTGGTACCGTGAGCAGCGCCTTCACTCGTCGTACTTCCATGAGTGACGATGAGGCTATCCCGGACACCGACAGTAGTGAGGTTTGTATCCATGATATCGAAGAAAAGGAGTACTTTGAACTGACGGTGTATTTGTTTACAGACTACCAATCTCCTGCTTGAGCGTCTCCGAGCATGGAAGCATATGTGCGGATATCTCGAGGATTATTTCTCTGCTACCGCCAAAGTGCAAAAGTCCCAGTCCAAGGATTATGAGAAGCTCTTGAAGGTCGGTTTCTATTCCGATGAGTTGGGGTACCCGGAACTGACAAAGAATGGGAATAGGCCGTGAACGAACCGCTCAAGGAGGGCCACCACTTCAGTTCTAGCGATGGCGGTGTGGCTGGTATGTTCGAGAACATCCGCAACAACACCCAGGGCATGGTGACTATGTACATGGACGGCGAAAAGAACCTAAAGAACGCCGTTCTCCCCACCCTCGAGCGTCTCCACAAAGAGATCAAGAACAAATCCAAGGAGCTGAAAACCGGAGCCACCAAGGGCGCCAAAGCCGTCGAAAAGGCCCGCGGCCTAACCCAGAAGCACATCGAGCTCCTCGGTCAGAACTCCGCTACCTACGACGCCGCCGCCTCCGGCAAGATCGAGCAACACCACGATCCCTACCTCCTCAAGCGCGGCATCAACCACCGTCTAAACAACCAAGTAAACGAAGAGAACAACCACCGCCAGGATATCCTCGCCGTACAGAACTCCTTCCAGCAGTTCGAAGCACACGTCCTGCAGACCATCCAAGGCACCATGGAGCAATTCCACCAGCACGTGGGCGGCCAACTCGACCGCCAGCGAGCCATGTACGCCGACATTCTCGGTACCGCCCAGCGCATCCCACCAGACTTCGAATGGATCAACTTCTGCGTGCGCAATGACGCAGCTCTGGTAAATCCAGACTCGCCCCCACGCTCTTTCTCCAGCATCACCTTCCCGAACATGGATCACCGCTCCACACAGCCGCTCATCGAGGGATCTCTCGAGCGTCGCTCGCGCGCCATGATCAAGGGCTACTCCACCGGCTACTACGTCGTCACGCCAGCACGCTATCTGCACGAGTTCAAGGACAACGACGACTTCCGTCGCGACCCCGCCCCGGAACTCTCGCTGTACCTGCCCGACTGCGTCGTCGGCGCCATCGACGGCGTGAAGTTCAACGTAAAGGGCAAAGACGTCTCCAGCGGCAAAATCGGTAACGCTTTCCACACAAACACCGAACTCAGCTTCAAGGCCCACACCCCCAATGACGCAGAGAAATGGTGGTCCGTTATCAAGGAAGCCACCCGCGGCCCGGCCCTCGCTGCTGCTGCGACCACCCTCGCTTCTCCTACCGCGACCTCGCCTGCCGCTATCGAGCCTGCTGGCTCTGCGAGCCCCTCCCGCAGCGTCTCCGGTCAGGGCCAGCCGCCCTCCTACGCCGAGAGGGAGATGGAGAAGACCCAGGCTTCTCAGGGTACTGCTGCTGCCCCTGTGGCTGCATCCCCTGTTGCGGCTAGTCCTGCTGCTAGTACCCCGACTGCGGGAATTAGTCGTACGGCTAGCACGGCTAGCCACTTCCACACCTCACCTGGCGGTTCCGCTGTGGACAAGTCGTGAGATGATGGCGTGATTTTCCCTCGTTCTCCTTTAGGCATATATTTTTAAGCTTTTTTTTTGGTTCATTGGACTTGCATTACCCTCTCACGTACTTGAATGTTGAATAACGCATGTGCATTTCATCCGTTGGTTAGAGTGTAGCGTTTCATTTATCCATTAGGAGAGTGAAACATACCTATGCCCTGGTCAACTGGATATATACCTCTTAATGAATTTCTTTTCAACAATTATAATGCAAGAATTAGATATCAACGCTAACTAGATCGAAGATCCTTTTAACTATCAAATACACAAAATGGGTAGAGTTGTGTCGTCGAATCATATCATAGCCTATGCTGGAAGACACAAAGGGCATCGGGCATGGGCTAGCTAGGTAATCCCAGCATACACCGCTACGCACATTTTCATTCCCAATATCAGAAATCCTCAGGGCTTTCTAGATCATCCAGTTTCTCCCCGAGGAATCGTCCTAGCGCGGCGCATTTCGATTCCAATGCAAGCAAGACGGCCGGCGAGGCGGAGAGGTTCAAGCTAGCCAGACGCGCAAGATCGGCGCTGCGGTCGATCTCGAATTGCGGGTCTCCGTAGCCGTTGTGAGGTAGATTCGAAGAAGCAGGCGCGGCAGCTAGTGTGCGCGAGACATCACCCTGTGAACCCTCAGGCGTGGACGTTCCGTTGCTAGCATCAATGATGCCGTTATCAGCGAGAGAGTCGGCATTGGTAGCGCCGTTCGGCTCCGGCGCGTCTACTCTGGATGGGCCGACGGCGGCCACGAGGACTTTATCTGCGATTCGGGTTACCACCGCGACGGAGTCGTCGAGTTCGAAGACGATCGATCCTACGTCGCCTAGAGACATCGATTTGGCGGTCACGTAGGATGAGGGGTGGCTGGCTGGGTTGACGCCCGTTAGGTTCCCGGTTGAGGCTGTCTTGGCGTAGCACGTGTACGCGGCGCCGTAGGTTGCGCTGAGATTGCGCAGTTGGCGTGAGGAGAGGGAGGAGCCGTGGGCGAAGACAGCGCCGTTTGTTGCGAAGACACTAAAGAGACGCGGTCATTAGGTGATTTTTTGCGATGGAAGAGCGGTTGGCATACATGATCGTTGTGATCTCTGGCGGGGACAGGTTATCTTCCAAGAGGTCGCTTAGCGCCTCCGCGTCCAGCATCTTGATATCTGGGAGACCGGGAATCATGGTGTCGGAGTTTGTGTTAGTGTCGCTTTCCTGGCGTATCGGAGGCGTGTATTCCTCCACCTGTATCTCGGGTTCCTCCTGTAGTGCTATACAATCTGTCTCCGCAATGTAATCTTTTGGTGGCGTCCACGAGCAGTCTTCCGGGAAAAAGAAACAGTTATCACAATAGTCCTCGTCGTCGTGATCGTATTCGATTGGCTCTTCAGAGTAGTCCAATAGGTTCTGAGCACACTTTGTCTCGTAGCGGGCCCAGTAAGGAAGGAAGGTTGGTTCGAATGGCGGTGGGGAGCTAGGTATGGATATAGTTGGTGAGGAGCAGTCGGATATCGAATCAGAGAAGTCGGGAACTGGAGGAGGTTCGGGTTCAGCCATCTTCACACCCATGGATACGAACTCGGCAGGCAGAGATTATGATGTGGCGGTTGTTTATTCCCCACAAAAGGTAAATCGATAAATAAGGGCACGAAAGAAGATAATATTCTCACAACGGGGACTTGGCTAGGTAGATGACAGGGAACGAGGGGAACACGCAGCGGCTCGGAACCGTTGACTCAATGCGCTGCTCTGGTCCAAACTGAAAGTCACGATAATTCCAATCGCGTCCGGTGGTACACAGGAGGGAGCCAGGGAAACCGCGCTTTATGAGGCCCAGTACGGCCAGCAGGTGTCATGAGATGTGTGAGGCGGCTCCGCAATGGGAGCACCCCGATCGGGGAAATAGGACGAAGCGTGCACACGAGCAGACACTTGATTGGGAGAGGAAGAGGGGGGAGATATGTGGAAAAGCGAGGGCTAAGCGCGGCAGTATAAGAAAGTCCAGAATAGGAAGTCCAAAACTAAAGAGAGGAGACGGGATGCGACACGACGCCGGGGCGAGGATAGAGGCCAATGGCAGGAAAGGGATCAACCGGGAGCGGGGGAGAGAGTTTGACTGATCATGCAACAGGGATTGCCACGAACCTGGTCTATACGAAATAGGAAAATCGGGGAACCCAGGAGATTCGAGGGAGTGTTTGGAGGTTGAGTAGGAAGGAGAAGAGGAATTGGAGATAATCGTCCCGTCGATGTGGAGTACTCCCGCATGACGTTTCAAACGCCGAGGTAAGGGTACTGCATGAGAATACATTATGTACTTAATAGTATCCTATGTGTAATATGATTGTTTAACTCGAAATCAGGCGATTTCTATATTTGCATATTCCAGTCTACATTATCGTTACCTATAGTACCCAGTCATTATATGAATTATATGATCAATTGGGTATAGTAGTTCAGTGTCAGATTAACCACATATACTAGGCATAGCCTAGAACGTATTAGGAGTGATCTAACTAATTATAGAACCTAACTGATCTCGGTTCTATACAATATAGTCCTAATGCCCTAATTCTGTCAGTTATCAGAGCTATATCGTACAAACTGGATATAGCGTCATGTGCCCCACCCTGCTCAAATGGCTGACAAAAAGCTCTTTGCCCCTCCCATCTTCCCTCAATGTACGCTCGTCTTTCCGCCAGGGTCCTCCAACAAAGACTCTTTCTACCAATCAGTAAGCTTGATTCATATGCAACTGACAGTCCAATTATTGACATGTTACCAGGGTCCATAGCAACCATGGCTTCCGATACCTCCACCTATAAGCTCAACCGTTCGTGCACCATACTTCAATATCTTTCAACACAATCACTGACACAATGCGCACTCTATAGACACTATGATCCGGGTCAAAGACCCGCAGAAATCGGTGGATTTTTACAAGTTCCTCGGTCTGAGCCTGGTCAACAAGATTGACATGCCTGAATGGAAGTTCTGCAACTACTTCCTGGCATATGACGGGCCCGCCTCTCTCCAAGGTGACCGTCACTGGACCGATCGCAATGCCGTTCTGGAATTGACTCACAACTACGGCACTGAGAACGATCCCAACTACAGCGTGGTGAACGGAAACACAGAACCGCACCGTGGGTTCGGTCACATTGCCATCTCGGTTGACAACATTGAAGCTGCCTGCAAGCGCATTGAAGATGCCGGCTACCCCTTCCAGAAAAAATTGTCTGAGGGTCGTATGCGACACATCGCTTTCGCCAAGGATCCCGATGGATACTGGGTTGAGATTATTCGTCGCGCCGATGAGGATCTCAGCACCACCACCGACCCGGGTAGCTACCGACTGAACCACACCATGCTGCGCGTGAAGGATGCCGAAGCTAGCTTGAAATTCTACCAGGAAACCATGGGCATGACTTTGGTCCGCACCAGTGAGAACCCAGAGAACAAGTTCAACCTGTATTTCCTGGGTTACCCTGCGTCCAACCCAGAAATTAAGGAGGGCAGCAAGAGCGGAGTGGCGGAGTGGGAAGGTCTGCTAGAGTTGACCTGGAATTATGGCACTGAGAAGCAGGAGGGTCCTGTGTACCACAACGGCAACACTGAGCCCCAAGGCTTCGGTCATATCTGTAAGTGATCACTGGATTTCTTCTAATTGTTTTGCAAGGTTCCTAATTTGGGGTTTAGGTATTTCTGTTGACGACCTCCCCGCTGCATGCGACCGCTTTGAGTCTCTGAAGGTGAACTTTAAGAAGCGCCTGACTGACGGACGGATGCACAACATCGCATTTATTCTGGATCCGGATGGATATTGGATTGAGGTGGTGCAGAATCAGGGGATTAAACGCACTGGAGACTGGTAGAAACCCCGTACAATCCTGTATATAACATCTTCGAAGTTGAAAATGCAGCACATCACTTGACCCCCCGTGCTGATTATTCCCCCCCACCATTTCATAGGCCAACGGTGGTGGAGACCCTCCCCCGCCCCCAGAACATTTTTGATCTCGGGGATATTCCCCTTTGCAATTTGTAACACTTCCTTTTTCACTTGTATAATAGCTTGATGATGATAATTTTGACAATCTCGAGAATTCGACCTTTGATGCGGGATGAATTAAGGTGATCCCCCCTCCCATTTCATCTTGTTTGCGGGGATTCATCGTCACGCACCACTCAAGCCACAACCCCAAGCTTCAACACTTGGAAGAATCGTCCAGGACGTGGTCTTGGACCTCTTAACCATGTCGCCCGATCCAGAGAAAACAAAAAAGGCACCCCGTAAACATGTCACCACCGCCTGTGTGCCATGTCGCGAGAGCAAAATCAGGGTATGTGCTTTGAATCTGGCAAAATGCCTAAATGGCTTCAAATAAGCTAATGTACCACTTGCTACCAGTGTGACGGAGCAACTCCGAACTGTCAAAATTGTCAACGCAAGGGGAAAGAATGCAAATACCAACATGGAGACGACAAGCGCAAGTAAGTATGACCATGTTCGTTATTTGGGAGTGGCCAAGTGACGAAGAGGCCTTCATAGGCATACATCACTGAATGTTCAAAGGCTAATATGAACCAGAGTTTCTCTTCGAGCATCAACAGAGTTGTTCTCGGCTCGAATTGACCAACTTTGTCATTTCATCAAGGAGCAGGGGCTGGAGCCACCGCCAATGAACCCAGAGGATGAGGCTGGGATGAACAGGGTTTTAGATACTCTCCAGATCCCGCGCGGATTCCCTCAAGTCTCAGGGGTGACCGATGAAAAGCGACCACCGGATGAGCCAACAGCCTCGGGAGGCTCAAGCAAATCCCCGTTCCAAGATCCGCCTGCTGTAAATCCCAAAGTACCAACCCCGAGCATGAATCTGGTTGCCTCTGGTGCATCCCCAGGGCAGGATACTGCGTCTAGTGGAAAGGCCCCATCGCCTGAAGGCTGGAATCCCTTTGGAATGGTACCAGGTGCTTCCGACAATCAAAACTTTGTTCAATGGGGCTTCACTTTGCCAACAGCTGAAAGTCTGGACACGATTTACGCTAATCTCAACGGAGGACCGAGACGTCCTGCAATGCCCAGAATGCCCGTCAACACGGGATTGAGCCCGGATAGCTACCAGCTTGGGATTGACATGGCCCAACAGCCGGGAGTTTTGCTAGGCCAACTAGTCCATGACGGAGAAAATGATTCGGACAGCGGTGAAGAGGACGAAGCTGAAAATGACGTTATTGAGCAATTGTCGCACCGAATAGGCACTTTGAAAATTGCGGGTGATGGCCATCTGCGATTCTACGGTGCCACGTCCAACCTCAATCTGGTGGACGTGTCTGCCACACAGCAGCGGCAGCGACCAGACGCGCGGACTGTGCGCCATGATGGTCAGGATATTCTGAATCATCTCAGGGTTGGCCAACCTGTTGATCAAGCTCTGGAGGATCATCTTGTGGAGCTATATTTCACCTGGCAAAACCCCAGTACATACATTGTCGACAAAGAAATGTTCATGAAGGCACGAACTAAGTGGCGCAATGAATTGGATGATACTCCGTTCTATTCGGAGGTTTTAACTAATGCAATGTTAGCTCACCCTCATTTTCCGATACTAAAGGGATTTACTGACTTGTTACAGGTGTGCGATCGGGAGTGCCTTTGAGGCACGCTATCACCCCACATTCATTACTTTCCCCAAGTCTCTCTCTGAGTTCTTTGCAGATCGTGCCAAAGCCCTTCTGGAAATTGAACTGGATTCTCCTTGTGTTGCTACTGTCCAGGCCCTTGTCATTATGAGCTGCCATGAAGGCGCATCAAATCGCGATGCTCGAGGTTGGTTGTATAGCGGTAAGTATATATCTCAGAGACGAGAAAGGATCGACGCTCATTGCCTAACTACTCTCTAGGAATGTCTATGCGGCTTGCTTTTGATCTTGGTTTGCACTTAAATATGACGGCATACGTCAACAAGGGCGAAATTACCCAACTCGAAGCTGATGTCCGTCGTGCAACCTTTTGGGGAAGCTATGTTGCAGACCAGTGAGTTTTTGCACTTCTTATACTACAGATTTCTCTAACGGTAACTAGTTTCTGGGGCTTCTACTTGGGACGCCCGTTCCGCATGAACGCTGGAGACATAGGTGTTCCAAAACCTGGCTCTGCTCTTTGTCCTGAAAAGGAAGAAAACTGGCATCCATACGGTCATCAAGCTGCTCATGTGCTATCTCAGAACGGTCTGAGGAATCCTATGGAGCTAATATGCAGGCAATTTGTCGTTCTATGGGAAATGATCTCCCCAGTTGGTCACATTTTGTATGTAGATTTTGCACGTTATTCAGTACAATGCTAACGTGTCTTTAGGTACGGATGTTCTGACATCTCTCGGCACGATTTGCAAAGGATAACTTATCAAGTTACGGAAGATTTGTTCGCCTGGAAAGCAAATCTTCCTTCTAGCCTTCAGATTGATTTGGACGATGATACCTCACCAATATTGCCTCATTTGATGATGCTCCAGTAGGTTTCATTCAATCCAGCAGGCGCGCGGAATCAACCTAATGGTTTCTTGTAGCATGCAATACCACCAGATCATCATTTTCTTCCATCGCCCATGGCTCTCCAAAAGCTACATCCAGCCCCGCAGTCCTCGTCAAGGCCCCGGGTATCACCACGCGCGGCGCATGTGCGTGGAGTCAGCCACCGCCATCGCACGACTACTCCAACTTTACGAGAAGCACTACACATTCCGCCGCATGAACAACCAAGTGGTAGCGATAATCTTCAGCGCAGCACTGATGCTTCTTTTCGTAACGGTATCCAATTTCCCAGTGAGTCCAGGCAAACAGGGTGACAGTCCGACGTACCCCCGTAGCACAGAAATGGTAGCATATCTCAATCTGTGCTTCCGCGCTCTCGATGAACTCGGGCAATCGTTTGACAATGCTAAGCGCACCCGCGACTACCTCGTTACCCTCCAGCGACGCTGGCAAGCAAATATGCGCCGATCTGGCTCCGCCGCGAAACGCCAAAACAGCAGTCCTAACTTGGCGTCGCTGGGTTCACAGAAGCCGTCTATACAGCACACCCGCAATGCTCAGGGTATAAATGACTCGCGGAAGAAATCCCGTTTATCTGTTTCTGGGGTCCGTCCCAGTATGCAGTCAACACCTGTGACGACCAACCAATACTCCCACCTCTCTCAGAACACCATACCTCATCAACAATATCATCAGCAGGGCTCTTATCAACAACAAGCCCCCTTCCCCGTTCCAGTTCCCGATTCCCAGCTAGGCGATCTAGATTGGATTCCAAACCCAGACATGCGTCTTTTGTCCGAGAGTCAAAATGGCAATGCGCTGAATGGCATGGGTCAGATTCCTTCTCCTGCCTTCCCCGAGGACCCCAGCATGCTTTCAGACATCGCGGACATTGATGGATGGTGGGCATCCGAAAACTACACTAGGACCTCGATGCCGCCATGAAATCACGACTAGTCACAGTGTTCTTTGGTCTGCTGGTCTAAATACTTCGAAAGTTTTAGAGTACTCAACCCATCGGGTCTGTCAAGTTTGTCAACCTCTGCTCCCTGGGAACGATAGAGTGAATACCCCGCAATGAAATGATACATACCTCTCCGGGTATTGGAGGGCGTTCAGATAAATGTACCATTATTTCCATATTTCAAAATTGGGGTCGTTATGAATTCCTCACATGCCCAATTCCACATGTAAACCAAATCTTATATGCCTTGCAACAAACAGATTTTAATCTATATCTTCCATTGTCCCTTGAAACACATCCTTGAACCAATCCCCCACTTCCTGTCCCTCACTAATACCACTACTCCGAACCTGAGACAAAGTAACCCTTCGCTCCCCAACCCCCTTCTCCCGCCCCCAAAAGCAAGCCCGCCGCATAGCAGAAACCATCTCATCAGCCTGTCTAGCAAGAACCGTAGACCCATTCCCCCCATCTCTAGTCTTCTTCTTCATCTCGATCGCAGACGAAGAGATAGAACCAGAACCCAATTCAGCACCATCCTGTCTCGAAAGCACCCGGACCCAAGGTAAAACCATCTCCAACCGCCCAATCCCATCTCCAGGTCCAGAGAACGTATTCCCACTAAGCCCATAATCCAACCCATACGGCGGCCAGCGCGAAAGCGCCTTCCGGCGTCGGGTAACAGTAGCACCAATACCTTCGACGTCGTCGGTATCCATGTCGGGATACACATCTTGATCCCAGATCGAGTCGTCCGGTGCAGCGTATAGCTCGGCTGTTGTACTCCGCGCGTTCTCCTTCAGTACGGGGACGGGATACTCCGGCCCCGTAAGATACTGCGGGAATGTGCGCGGCACGTCCCGACCCGCGGAGCGGAGGAAGAGAATCGGCGAGGCGAAGGAGTCGAAGCAGCGCTCTGGTGTTGAGAAGAATTTCGAGCGTGCCTGGAGGAGGGGGAGTAGGTCTGGTGGTGCTGGGGACTTTTTTCTTGGTTGGCGCTTGTGTTTGGATGTTGTTGTTGAGCTTGCAGTGGTATCATTGTTAACGCCTGCTATTGTCTTGGTCGTCGTGATAGTGCTCTCGCGCGTGCAGTACTCGTCCAAGCCGGGCCAGTCGCAAACGGGTTCTACGGCGGCGACGGCTTGGATGGATTGCGCTTCTGTTAGCGCTAGCATTAGAGCTAAAGAGCCTCCGATGTGCGTGCCGAATACGGCTAGTTGGGATGGTCGGAGGTGAGTTTTGATCCAGTCGAATCCGGCCAGGGTATCGTGCACTGGTGTTGGGTATTTGTAAGAGGTGAGTTGGGGGTTGCTTGGTCCCAGGGTTTGGCCTGGGGCTTCAATTGGCTCTTGTGAAATAGAGCTTTTATCTGATGATGGGGTGATATCTGTTTTTATCTCCCCGAGGCGGTAATTGATTGTGACTACCAATGCAGCCGCGGTAGATGCCAGGACATGCTGGGGTGAATCTGCCACAGAGGCCAAGGCGTTGATATCGCCAATCATTTGGTGATCAGCTTGAAAATTCTCACGATTTTGAGATGCGCTTGCGCCATTTCCCTGAAACAAAGGTCCAGGCGGAAGGTAGAGGATTACATTTGGGGCTTCGGGAGACAACCCCTGGTCAGACGGGCTCAACGCGCTCGGTCGCGTAATTCTAGGGAGAAAGTTAGCATTGTGGAACTAGGGTGCATACAAGAAGTGATACATTACTTCAGAGAAATAGCCCCATTGTTTCCGATAGGAAGAGAGATTGTCTCATCTGTGCAATCGGATGCGACGGTCGAGTATCGCGAGCTTCGGAAACACGCGACGGAAATGCGGGTAGCTCCTCTGCTGCGATGCAGGAAAAGGGCTATTCCACGGGACGAGCAGATGATACTTCGCATAGCACTACAGTGATATTCGAAATCAGCTTTACCGTCTATCTCTCTTTGTTCCCCGGGCCCCCAAACCGCACTAGTCTAGATTAGGATATCTTTCCGCCAGCCTTGGATCTGCTGATGTACCTTCGACGAGCTTGCGTAAATTACAGTAAATTACCTCTTTTCATTTGGGCATATTTGTCGAATACCAAGTCCGAATACATGGTAGAAACCAGGTATTATACCGGAAACATCATGTGACATTAGGTACTAGGCATACCATACAAAAGTGTATATTACAGTTAGTCATCATTGTCCGTACAGATTGTTGAAATAGCGGGTTTTGTCATTTTAGTGAGAGTCTTCAACATTGGTCATCTATACCATACATTGTTCGTACACCAGCTTTCTACACGATACGAACGGTGCAAATGAGAGGTTTCTTTGCGAGCTACATGTATAGTACTGTACATTAATCCTCCATATGGGCCCCAGCGTCCTGCTAATATTCGTTTCTTACTAACATACTAATGACATATCACACAGGTCGTACAGTACGAATTCGGTTTGCCGTCTTCGCTCGTTTCTCTGGTCTTATCGCTAGCCAGATTGGGACGACACCGTACAAATCACGGCTAATTTTATACTACGAATCAGAATAAATTAGGTCTTCAGAAAGAGCGAAATGTTGAGGTCTTGTTACCGAAGTACTAGCCATCAAAGCCAACAGGATTCCATCCCTTGCATATACATTGCGTATGCAACGCCCCTGGCATTTACAACACGCTCGCAAGCGTAAGGGGAATTAAGCGGCCATCATTGTTGGATAGCCGCCCAATAATTTTATATATCGCAAATTCAGCTTCTCATTCCTCGTTCGCCTTGCAGTTGTCAGCCACATTCTTGCAGATTCGGTCGATTTGATTAAGGCGCCTGGATGTTTTGGATGACTAGAGACTGAGCTTTCGGTGTTGCCGAGAATAGTAAAAACAGAAGTATAAATGGGACGAAGCCTCAGAGAACACTGAACCCAAGCTGATCTATTTCATTTTTTGACTAGTTACCAATGACAGTGAGCAATTTGAAATCTTCCGAAATGGCTGTACTGCCTCCAGACAAGCCACCTCTTGGGCATGACTATTCTTATGCACAAAGAAAGATCAGTCTCCAGTCATCCAAAACATCCAGACGCCTTAATCAAATCGACCAAATCCGCGCGAATGGCGTTGGCGACCACATCGCGCTACCACAATTGGTAGTTTGTGGAGACCAATCCGCAGGGAAAAGTTCGGTCCTCGAAGGGATTAGCGGCATACCATTTCCTCGACAGGATGGGCTTTGCACTCGATTCGCAACAGAAATCATCCTCCGACATGAATGTACAGATATCAAAACTACAGCAACTATTATACCTAATTCTTCCAGAAGTGAAGAAGAAAAACGTCTCTTGAGTGCTTATCACCACGTTCTCCACGACTTTACCGAGCTGCCAAATATCATCGAGGAGGCGGCGAAGCTCATGGGGGTACGTGGCATTGATGCACAGGCTGAGGGTCCGGCATTCGCAGCCGATGTTCTTAGGCTTGAGCTCGTTGGCAATACGGGCCTCCACCTTACCATCGTGGATCTTCCTGGGCTCATATCAGTCGCTCAGTCTGAAGAAGATGTGAAGATTGTCGAGAAGATGGTAGACTCCTATTTGCAACACTCTCGGACCATAATTCTTGCAGTCATACCGGCAACCAGCGATGTTGACACGCAGGGCATCATCCAGCGTGCGAGACGTTTTGATGAAAATGGTCTCCGGACCGTCGGAATCATTACCAAGCCAGATCTCATCAACGCTGGCACGGAGGCACGTATCGCTCGGCTTGCCAAGAACTGCGACCGCACCAAACTCACCCTTGGGTTTTTTATCCTGAAGAACCCCAGCCCGACGGAGCTGAAGGCAGGCATGACCATAGAAGAGCGACGTAAGACAGAACTAGCGTATTTTTCCACCGAGGTTTGGAAGAAACAGGGGCTGGATCCTTCTCGAGTTGGAGTCGACAAGCTGCGATGTTTCCTGGAAGAAATTCTTGACAGCCACATCGAGCGCGAGCTACCCAAAGTCCGCGAAGATATACGACGTCTTCTCCGGGAGAAAAACGAAGAGCTCGATGAACTTGGAGCGGAACGGAAGTCTCCAAACCAGATACGCATGTTCCTGACAAAGATGGCCACTAATTACTACAATATCATTCAAGCTGGCGTTGATGGATCATACGGCGGCCGTGATGCAAGCTTCTTTGAAATACGAGACGGGCGACTCTCAGCTCGACTCCGTGCTGCTATTCATATAGAAAATGAAAAGTTCTCCGACGATATGAGGCAGCATGGCGAAAATCGAAAAATCGTCCCATCGGACCACCCAGATGTCGGCAAAGACAAAGGTGGACAACATTTCGTGACGAAAGAAGGGATGCTTGAATGGATTCGACAGGTATGTCTTTATACTTCTAGATAACTTTCAATCAATCATAACTAATCAATACAGGTATATGATGAAACGAGGGGTCAGGAGTTACCGGGCAACTACAACCAAGCTCTCCTGGCGGAGTTATTTCATGTGCAATCATTGCGATGGGCTGATATTGCTCGAGAACATATCTTAGTCGTCTCTAAGATCGTTTTTCAGTTCGTAAATGCCGCGCTGGCTTACGCTATCAGAGATGGGAAGGTTCGTGAAAATATTGGTCGCCTAGTGAGCACCACGTTGGAGGCAAATGTTGAAGCCGCGGAACACGAACTAGAAAGAATACTTCAAGACGAGACTCGACAGCCAATCACGTACAATCATTATTATACGGACAATATCCAGAATGCGAGAAACGAAGCCTCGAAGAGCCTTATTGAGGATTCTGTGCGTGATGCGATCCGAAATGACTGGGACGGTACTCTCCACTTGCAGAACACAGAAAAAGACTGTGTTAGATTGGTGTCATCCCTCAAAAAGCGTGTCATCGTCGATATGAAGGAGCAAGCATGTTCTGAAGCAAAGACTGACTTGACTGCTTATTACAAGGTCAGTTTTCGGCGTTTTTGAGTGGAAATCGCTCTGACCATTCATCTACTAGGTTGCACGTAAAACATTCGTGGATAATGTCTGTCGTCAAGTCATTGAGCGACATATCCTAGCCCGGTTGGCTGATGCGTTCAGTCCTATGACGGTTAGCTTGTATTCGGAAGAGGAGCTTATCAACTTGGCGATTGAGTCTCCGCAAATTTGTCACCTCCGTTCGGATGCTCGCCGGCTTCAAGCTGCTCTAGAGCAAAGCCTCCGTGATTTAGCTGGATAGGGTGATTGAGAATTGGTCTGCTCTGGCGTGGTTTTTTTCCCTTAGGGGTTTTCCCACGTTCGCTACGCAAATGCGGGAGCAAATGTATATACGGGACGTTTTTGCTGCATTTTTGATAAAGAACTACTTCAATTATTTGCGGCGTACCTATATGCCGAGCGCGTTTCATTTTATTGATTTCTAAAAGATCTTTTGGAACCAAATTTTCAGAACTACTGCGGACTTCAAGCCGCAGCTTTGAGATCATATTACACTATCGCAGTTTAAAAAAGGTATGTAATCTAACTATAATTTACGCGAGCTCGTCGAAGGTACATCAGCAGATCCAAGGCTGGCGGAAAGATATCTTAATCTAGACTAGTGCGGTTTGGATGGAGCCCGGGGAACAAAGAGAGAGAGATAGACGGTAAAGCTGATTTCGAATACCACTGTATTAGAGCATGCTCTCGATGTTGGATAAAACTTGTCAAAGATCGGGCTGTTGGCTTTGGTATTAGTTATCCGAAAGTAGTTGATGCTAAAATGGCCATCTATGCAGACTCGACATGAATATGATATTAGAAAGGGATATCAATAATAGAACACTCGAATAGTAATGATGCTTTGTTCAAAAAAATGATACATAGTATGTTGCAGTCTGGAGTGTTATAGCATTATATTGTCTGCATTGGTCTTCAACCCAACAGCCAAGGACTAACCTAATCATGCACGCACGAATGACAATTTTTACCGCTTTACAATTTTAACAAAACAAAAAACACACTATGATCGTCAATGAATCCGTAGCTGACCGCTCCAAAAGCCCTTCCGCGAACAAGTGTGTCACTTAGAGGTAGTCGCCGATGCCGCAGGGTCGTCTCGGTCCAGAGGAGCTTCGGTATCATCCTCTGGCACAGGACGCACAACCTGCAAGATCAACTGCGGATCTTTGGAGTAAACCCGGAGGCCAACCACACAGACAGCATTCCATGGGTCAAGACGAGGCTCATCAAGGCCCATCGATGGAGGTTGATTCTTCACATCCGTCTCGTCGGGAGGCATATCGATATCGCTGTCAAATTCGAACCCTTCTAGTAACTCAAGGTCACCCTGGTCCAGAGCCTCCGTAGCAACACGTGTATCTAGACTGGGACGGGAAGAGTCGGTTCTACGTCGCCACCCACCGCTCGCGTGTCTTGCGTGCAGGCCCTGGCCGTGGCCGCCGTTGACGTGGATGGTTGGGACGGAACCGTTGACACGGCGCTCACTCCTCTCGCTTGAAATGCTTCCAGAATCGACAGGAGAATCCTCTACTGGTTTATCTGCCAGAATTTGACTGGTGGCAGAATCGCCTTCGAGGTTAGGATCATAGGAGCTGCTGCTCGGGGTGCTGATCTCGCGCCGTGCTTCCATGCGCTGGTGTCGGGCTTCTGACTTCTGGCGGCGAATCCAGTCCTTCTGCATCCTTTTCTTAATCTCATCACGAAGCTTTCTCCGCTCGGCTGCCTTGAAAAGCTCCTCATCCCGCTTTTCTTGGTCTGTCTCGCCCACCAATCCCTTCGCATGCGCGAGATCATATGAAAGGCCGACCTGCACCAGTTTCTCTCTTCTCGTCGAGGCAACTTGGCGGACAATCTCCTCGGTGGAGTCTACATCTTCGTGGCGGAAGGCTGTGATTTTCATCAGGACGTGATAGCGACCCGGGTCAAGGTCAATCTCGGCGTTAACGGATCGTCCCATGAAGTGGCTGCTATGGCTGCGCACGAGATAATCCCGTTCTCCGGCTTTCTGCAAGCGGAACTTGAGAACGAAGCTGTACTCTCCGGCTAGTCCTTTGAAATACCGCGCATCAAGCTGTGTCTGTCAGTCACTGCACATGAGCAGGAGTGAATGGATCAAAACGAACCTGGGATAGCACAATGACTACCGGACCACTGGTGTTAACCTCCATCATGAATTTAGTGGTGTGGTAATCAGCGGACCAGGGGACATTCAAGGTAGTCCATTGCTGGGTAATGGTCCATTCAGGCCCAAAAAGGCGAGTCCGGTCGAAGTGCTGGTATTTCTTGAGCAGATCTTTATACGAGATCCAGAAGAGCTGGGCTCGGTCAGCGTATTGAGCGAAAGCACAATGGATAAATACATACACCATCGTTGCCAAATTTATGGCCAAGCTTTTCCATCCACTCGGCTGTCCATTCCTTGGATCCATCCCCCCAAGCACCATACCATTCTTTGCGACCCCATGGGTTCCTAGACGTTGTGAGATTTCCGTTCGTTTCACTAACGCATTCATGCACTTACCTCAGTCGCAGTAGCCGATGCCCTTCAATCTCCCGGGCATCCATGATGGAATAGGAGTGACCCTCCGCGATACCCTTTCGATCCCTTGGTGGACCCTGGTACTTGGGATCTAACCAGTTTGAAAAGAGGCCAGTCCCACAACCAAACAGGAATTCCTTGTTGACCTTCATAATTTCCTCGGTCCAAAATCGGTCCTTGTTGAGGATATTGCTGGATAACACCTCAGACGTGACACCTCCCGTGAGATCCTCGATAGCTTCACCAACGAATCCACCCTCAATCGCGGAATAATCTCCATGGGCCTTTGCAAATGCTTTCTCTAGAAGAGGTAGCCAAGTCTCGTTGTCGTCGACGCACTGCGCGAAGTAAAGGGCCCGCGAGCCTGTCTGGTAGACTCGTCGGTACTCTTCCTCCGCATCACTCCGATGTATGTCGTCCCAGATGGGTCGCTCGATGACGGACTCATCGTAGTCAGCAGCTCGGAGATACAGCTTGTCATCTACAATGCACTGCTGCCACTCGCCGTCTGATGATTGAAGTCAGCATGATTCCATGTCGGATCAGACCCCGAGCACAGGCTTACCTCGATGAAAAACAAATCCATAAATCCCAACCTCTTCATTGCGAGCAACACAAATCTTCTTGATCAGCTCCTCTTTGTTGCCCATAGTGCAAAGCGCAGCCATGAGCCAGCAGTCTCCGTCATATCCCTGTCGTACATCTGACGCGGTAGGCCCGTTAACAAAGAACTGGGGGTTCTCAAAGATTTCCTATAGGAAAATCGTTAGCAACCCACAATCCACTCCATGGTATATCGTCTTTGAACTAACGGTCACTCTTTTCACTCCCTGGGGTCTGAACTCCACATTCTCTTTATCCAATCCATCGAGATAGTGTCTCCGACCAGACTTTAGGTCTAGCTCGATATCGAAGTGCGGGTCCGAGTATTTCTGATTCACACGCTCGCATTCCTTGACGATACGGTCAACGGACTTTTGACATTCCTGGTATGCCTGCTCGTACGATTTGATAGCCTCGTGGCCCTGGACACGGCCGCTGGGTACGTGCTTGGCCCGCGTCCGTGCATACGGATTGTCTGGCAGCACTGTGTATACTTTGCCAGGATACTTGGTGTTGAATTGTTCCCAGAACTGCTTGACGGATTCCTGAGGGTCTTGACAACATGCGCGGGGCGGTCGGCTGTTTGAGCGCGAGGAGCCAGGTCCTGCGACGGCATAGCCCATCTCGTCGTCGAACTCCATGGTTTGAGGGTCTTTTGGTTGGTGCTCTTTGCTTGGTTGAGATGATTTATGGTGTTTTTTTTTTTTTTTCGAACCACAGCGGTGGGGGTCTCTGGGCGGCTATTTCTCTCTTATATCGCACTAATCACCCCCAAATGGCGACGATCACTGATGAAAATAGAAACGAGACAGGGTTGCTCTAAATAAGAGTTTGGGAAGACATTCCCCAATTTTCCCCTCACACGGACACTCCGAGCCGAGAACATAGCCTCAGCCTTCACTCCCTCGTATTGATTCGTTGGGCTTGGGCCTGCTCTCCATAAAAGCGTTCATCGTAAGGCTGCAGGTGCATTGGACTAGCGGGCGAACGAGCGAATCTGACAAAGGGTGCTTTCGGCCCCCACCCTCACGTCTCAGCCCCTCCTGTACTGGGCTCAAAACGAATAAGCATGAATTCCGAGTCATCTTTAGACTGGATCAGACTTGGCCACGAGCAAATAGAGAAGTCAGAAAGCAGTGAGAAAACAAGGAACGAAGAGACTAAACTTGGATGAGATGCTTAGCATGTTTCATTCCAAAATCTGTGGGGCGAAGTTCAGCTGACATGAGATGACGGTTGCACCTAGCTTATGGTCTATATTAACCTGAGGCTGAAAAAGCCGAATACAATGGTACCGTAACGTCATTTGTCATATCTGATTACAGGGTAGAAAGGGTATGTACGCCTGTTATTCAAGACTAAAGCACTTTCGTATCCAGTAAGCCCGCCCTCCATATCACTCCCCATTGAACGCCGAAAGAGGAGAAAGAAAACATGTCCCGAAACCATTCCCCAGGGTGAATAAGACTACACGGAAAAGGTGTGAAGTCGTTACACTAGTGGAAACCGTTAGTTGGACCACGTCCGGAGTAGTATGCGGTGCCGTTGCGGAAGTACGGGTGGAGACAGGCCTGCTTAGCCGATAGTCGGTGTGCAGGGTCAAACTCAAGCAGAGACTCCAAGAGCTGACAACCAGCCTCCTCCAGCCCGGGAACGATCTCAACATCAGGGCGCTTCCACTTGGGGAAAGTGGGTTTATAATCGGGGAACGAGGTCACGCCGGGCCAGACATCTTCACCAGGTGTACCAAGGATGCTGCAATTCGTTAATACGGTTGAACATAGAACACTAGAGAACCATCCTTACCGGAAGATTTTGAAGATCTCGTCAATTTCAGAGTCACCGGGGAAGAGAGGCTTCCGTGTACACATCTCTGCGAAAATGGCACCCACGGACCACATATCAACACCCGTGGAGTACTGACGTCCACCCAGCAGAATCTCTGGAGAACGGTACCACAATGTGACAACCTGTAGATTATGTTAATAAAGGGAGAATTCCATCAATGGAATTGGAAACTCAATGCGTACCTCGTGAGTGTAGGTTCGAAGAGGAACACCGAACGCTCTGGCAAGACCGAAATCGGCCAATTTCAAGTTGCCTTCACGGTCAATCAACAAATTCTGAGGCTTCAAGTCACGGTGCAAAATTCGGTGGCTATGGCAGTATCGGATTCCTTCAACAAGCTGGGCCATGAACTTTTTGACCATGGCATCACCCAGGCCCAGGGTTGCACCGGCCTTGAACCCATCGGGCAGGGGCTTCCCTCGCCCACCGTCACTGACAGGCAGAGCCTCCATGTATTTCTTAAGGTCGAGATCGAGGAATTCGAAGACAAGGTAGAGCTTGTGGCCATCGGCGTGAACAATGTTCAGCAGCTGAACAATGTTGGGGTCCTGCATCTCCTTCAGGAGGGAGATCTCGCGAATTGCAGTGCTGGGAACGCCCTCATCTTCGGCTTCGAGGCGAATCTTCTTCAAGGCAACGATACGATTGGGGTGATTGAGTTCACGGGCCTTGTAGACCACACCGTAGGTGCCTACAGGGCATCGACGCGTGAGTTGAGCTCTAGGTGACAACAATCGCGTCGAGAGAACATACCTTCGCCGATTTTCTCAATTTTCTGGTAGTTATCCATACTGGCCGACATTCAATCCTATTCTGCCGTTAACCAGCTTAGCAATTTCAAAACAAAAAGGCCGGAATGAAGATTTAACACAAATTAGAGGGCTGTTGCCAAGAAGAATTTGTAGGGGAAGCAAGGAGAGCAGATAGCCGCTACTTACATCCGAGGATGTTGCTCTCTGATAACAGCTGGAGCAGCAAGCCCTCCAAATTCCACCTGAAGATCGAAAAAAAAAGTAATTTGTTGAAGAGAGATTGACGAAAGACAGTATTTCAATGGTGGGGAGAGAAAGACACAAAACAAACAACCCCCCGCGCCTATCATAGGGCGGTGAAGCGCGTACCTTTTCTTTCCCAGTTCACCAGGCGCAACTTTCTCTCTGACTTCATCTCTTCGCAATGGCCCAAATTAAGGGTTTTAGTGCCCATGATCGCCCTCCTGATCCAGTAAGGCTTTGCTACAAGAAATATTCTAGGATTGCGTTGTCCGAAGTTGACAATGACCCGGGGATCCTCGACCTACAACGGATCGATCCCGACCAATTGCCTGATGGAGTGACGATCACGCAGTATATGTCCAGCCAGGGTCTACGATTAGCATTTGATGATTTCATTCGTGGAAGCCATGCTGCAACAGAAGAGCATGCTCCTCTGGCTGAGAATATTCCAGTATTCGCTCACAAATCGATTTCCGGTTAGCATTGTATCGCCTCAATTTTGAACTGACTCAGCAGGACAAAGAGCTATGCCTGACCTCCTGACAGGTCTCCTGATGATTCCCGCCTTATTCCCTCCTACTGTCCAGATCGAACTGCTCTCCCGCCTATTCCACCGAGACTTACCCAACCCCGAGCATCAGACAAACCTACACCTACACTACGACGTGACGTACCCCGAAGAATCAGAAGAAACCCACATGCCCAAGTCATTCTTCGCCGATGATCCCACTCGAGAGTTCCAGCCCAAAGATCCTCAGGTGCACAAGCCTTTGACAGTTCAAAATCTCTTGGAGAAAAAGCTCCGCTGGGTGACATTAGGTGGACAGTACGACTGGACTGCCAAAGTATACCCATCTGAAACCCCACCGGAGTTTCCGCCAGATATTGCAAAGGTGCTACGTGCAGCTTTCCCGGCAACCTCGGCCCAGGCTGCCATTTTGAACCTCTATTCCGCCGGAGATACACTGAGCGTGCACCGCGACGTGAGTGAGGAGTGTGACGTAGGCTTAATAAGCGTGAGTTTTGGATGTGATGGATTATTCTTGGCTAGCCACGACGACGGGAATGGTTGCGAGATCATTCGGCTTCGCTCGGGCGATGCTGTCTACATGAACGGTAAATCGCGGTTCGCCTGGCATGGAGTCCCGAAAATTCTTCCGTCGACCTGCCCGAAATGGCTGGCCGATTGGCCATCATCTGGGGAGTCCGCTCCAGGAATGCCGCCTGGTGCATACGAGATGTGGAAGGGTTGGATGTCCAGCAAACGGGTCAACCTGAACGTTCGACAAATGACGACCACCCAGGCTTCCGAAGAGAGAGTAGATCAAGTTTGACAATGGGAAATCCGCATGTCAGTAATCTTCTCGGATCCTTTCCTTGGTTTAAGCGTGGACAAAATTCCATCATGGTCTACTCAAGCACAGAAACGTTCCAATGAGCGATCAAATTACGCAGTCCAATGTCCAAAAGTTCTTATGGTTTCACTAGAACCCTACATCAAAGGTACTCTCAATAACTCGCCACTAGCCGCAGATGGCAGTGGTTTCGCAAATTACACCGACACGCTTCCTGATCATCAAACTAGCCCAAAACTACACCATGAAATCCAGGGGGGGCGCCACCTATGGCCGTTGGTCCTGCTAGGTGAGCCTCACTGGTCCATGAATTACGGTTGGGACTAATTACAATATTCACTATGAGTAACAATAGTGAGGGCGCTGATCCCACAAAATTCCCATAGATTGAGCCTGAGAGATGTTGGATTGTTCTCCTTCTCTACCCAAATACCCCATGGGATGGCGTCCAGCAGGCATTGTGTCTCTCCTTGATGAATGACTGGAATTCAATTCATTCAAAAAACTAGCGTATCAATTATCGACACCTCTCAGTGGGTTCCTGTGACCGTGATGTCAATATATTTTTGGTCCTTCATTCTTTCAAATATGGTTCAGGCCTCCGGTGTCTAAGTAACATAAGATTTACATATCTGAATTACGAAACCAAGAGCCTGGAAACCCGAGCAGCGGTTAATCGGCTTAGAATGTGATAACGCTGTAGAATACTCGAATAGTCATCATTGCCAAGACTCCACGGGTGAATAGCCGCCAAAGTCTGATAGTCCGCCGAACTCTGATCGTCGTGAATGACCACTCTATCACTCATCTTCTACTGGTTACCGGCGCCGCGGACAGGGCTAGGCATCCCGTTTGGAGAGCGGGGGAGCAGGTTGTCAAGATAGTGGAAATAGTGGAGATAGACACCTCGGGAGTATTCAGGGATTTTTGGGGTAATCTTCACTACCTTCCAAGGTACATAAGTACCCATAGAACCCCCGGATGTTTCCCTGCATCGGATAGTACACAAGGGATAGACTACTCGACATCTTCAATGTTCATTTTCTCCAAACTTCGGGAGGTCGTCTGGGGGAAGCCCGCAGCGACCAAGGCAGAACGAAAGCTTTTGGTCAAGCTTGACTTGGTCATTCTATCGTTTTGTTGTCTGATGTATTGGGTCAATTATCTTGATCGCATGAACTTGAACAATGCATATGTCACTGGCATGAAAGAGGACTTGAACTTCCACGGCAACCAATTGAACATCGCCAACACAGGTATGTCAACGTGCTAGGCCTAGGATCAAAGGTTTCCCAACTTTCCGACTAACGTATCATAGTTTTCTATGGGGGCTACGTTTTGGGACAGATTCCGAACAACCTCGCGCTACAAAAGCTTCCTCCGCGTATCTATTTCCCGGCATGCATGGCGGCCTGGGGCTTACTCACTTTGGGTACTGGCTTTGCTCACCACCCATGGCAGATCATGGTCATCAGATTCTTTCAAGCTGTCTTTGAGGCTTCTACGTTCGTTGGTTGCCAGTATATTCTCGGCAGTTGGTACAAGCCGGACGAGCTCGGCAAAAGAACTGCGATATTTACTAGTAGTGGCTTGGCTGGAACAATGTTCTCCGGGTTTATGCAAGGGGGGATTCATCAGAGTCTTGGTACGACGGTCATCCTTCATCAGCAGTAACATGTTTGTACTAAGTGCTAATTCTCTCCAGATGGTGTTCGGGGTCTTCCTGGCTGGCGGTGGTTGTTCATCCTGGACTTCTGCATCACCATTCCAGTGGCCATCTTTGGGTTCCTCGCGTTCCCGGACACTCCAACTTCCACAACCGCATGGTGGCTCAGTGAAGAGGAGAGGAAGCTCGCTATCGAGCGACTTCCCGAAGTCGAGAAACAACGTGGTGTATTGGGATGGAATTTGATCTCGCGTGTCCTGCGGACCTGGCATTGGCTAGGCTTTATTCTGCTTTGGATATTCGCCAGCAACACCGAAATGTTCTCATCGAATGCTATCATGAATCTGTGGCTCTCGTCAACAAAGAACTACACCGTGTCACAAGTCAATTACATCCCGACCGGTGTGGCGGGTGTAGGAATCATCACCACCCTTGCCCTTGGCTGGTATTCGGACTTCACCAAACGCCCATGGCATGTGGGTATTTTCTTGGCCTGCACCGCCATTTTGTCTGGAGCGATCATGCTGCGACCTCCGTCCACCGGAGCGAAATTTTTCGCATTATTCTTGAATGGTTCCCAGTACGCTAGCCAGACTGTGATTTTTGCCTGGGCAAATGGGGCTACTGGAGGTGACGACGCGAAGCGAGGAATAATTCTTGGTGCTATGAACACATTTTCAATTGCGGTCTATATGTTCTGGTCACTGCTCTTTTACAGCACAACTCAGGGCCCTGACTGGAAAGAGGGTAGCATTGCAATGATATGTATGGGGTTGGCTTTGGCTATCACGACAATCGGCGTCCGGTACTTGGAGAAGCGAGACAAGCAGAGGATGGAAGTTCAAGGTGGCGTTCAAGCTAATGGTACGGACGAGGTAAAAGATAGTATCGATGCCGATAGGCCCAAAGACGCCCAGTAGACATACTATAGGGGTCTCTATCTTGGGCCTTTCCAGACCAATAAGAATATATAAATGAACAATGGCCTTCTCGTATCGTGTTCTACCGATTTCTACCTAGTGATAGCTTTGAAACCTCCGAAGATAGCAATTCTACCCGTTTAAATACTGATTCACTCCGCTAATTGGGACATAGGGTGAATTGTGAAATGACTGAAGTTGCTAATTACGTACAAAATATATATATGCAGTAGTCCACACAGCCATCTCCAATACTATAATCAATAGCAATAGCAGCTGACTCTCCCAATCTGAACATAATCCATCCCCAGTAATTACAATTTGGACTGCATATCTTATTATTCCAAGCTTCGACCAGGTTGAGAGTTTAATTTTCGGGGATTTGATACCCTTCCTAATTAGGAAGTTTTATCTTTTTCCATATAGTCTGCCCACTTCATTTCTCTATTGCCTATCACGCCCTTGACCCCGTCTCGACAAGCGGGGTTAACCGTTAACAAGATAGTTTGTCCATTTGCTAGAGGACATGCAGATTGCATTTTCGCGACGTCCACCCTGGTGATAACAGGCAGCCACCCGACGAATCAATTGTATTTAAATAGAGTAAATAATGTTGACACCTCTGCAATACTACCGAGGTCCAGATCAAACTTGACATGATGCGCGAAAGAAGTGGCCGATAAGGCTAGCCTCCAACTGTTTCGCGTTCGATGACTCCAATAACCCCGCACCCGTGGGACATTCTGATAGAGTACTCTTTACGGAAGTCTTTCTTACAATATTTTAACGAACACCCCTAATTTATCATGACAGGTGCACCGTGGCAACTGAAAGGCGAAGCCAAGCGCCAGTCAATTCTGAATGCTATCCCCAAGAACTGGCAACTAAAATATCCCGTTCCTCCCGCTACAGAGCTACGTGATGTCACAGGGGATTATATCCGACAATACCTCACCGAGCGTGAGATTGAAATCACAGAGACAGATGCCGTAGATATTGTGGAGCAGACATCTACTGGCCGCTGGTCAGCTGTGGAAGTGACAGAAGCCTTCTGTCACCGGGCTGCACTGGCTCACCAACTCGTATGTTTATGGCCACAGCGCACAAGAATAAATAAAACTCAGATGCTTAAATAAGGCTAATCATAAAACCAAACACTAGACCAACTGTCTCCATGAAGTATTTTTCGAAGCAGCAATCAAAGATGCCAAACAACAAGACGAATACTTCGCAAAGCACAAAACCCCGATAGGACCCCTGCACGGCCTACCAGTGAGTCTAAAAGACCAGTTCCACGTAAAAGACGTCGAAACAACCATGGGCTATGTAGGCTGGATAAACACCTTCCAGGGCCACCAGAATGACCCGCGCAGCGGCACAGAAGAGAGTGAACTCGTCCGCGAACTACGCAATCTCGGCGCAGTCTTATACTGCAAGACCAGCGTTCCAGCCACGCTAATGACCGGCGAAACGATCAACAACATCATCGGGTACACCTGGAACCCCAAGAATCGCCTGCTATCCTCCGGCGGCAGCTCTGGCGGCGAGGGTGCCCTGATTGCGCTCCGCGGCTCGCCTGCTGGCTTCGGCACTGATATCGGGGGCAGTATACGCATCCCCGCTGGGTTTAATTTCCTCTATGGGATTCGTCCTTCGGCGGGTAGGATCCCTTACCAAGGCACTGCGAACTCGTTAGATGGCCAGAGCACTGTCTTGTCTGTTACTGGGCCGATTGCGCCAACCGCGAGGTCTTTGACGCTGTTGTTTAAGGCTGTTCTTGGACAGAAGCCTTGGTTGCATGATCCGCTTGCGTTGGAGCTGCCGTGGCGGGATGAGATTGTTCAGGAGACCAGGGAGTTGATTGAGAAGGCTCGGGATGGGGCGTCGACACTTGCGTTTGGAATTATGAAATACGATGGCGTGGCGCTTGTTCATCCGCCTATTGCACGGGGGCTCAAGATTGTTGAGAAAATGCTACAGCGGTTGGGCCATCGGGTTATTGAGTGGAAACCTCCTTCTCACGCTGTTGCCGCTGAACTACTTGTATGTACCTGTGGGCTCTGCGTTGAGGCGAGGTTTAGTAGGGTGCTAACTTTTGGCAGGGGAAAGTATTCAACATGGATGGCGGCGTAGACTTGAAGTATCACCTCGGTCTATCTGGAGAATCTCGAGCTCCGCAAGTACTCGGTACCGAACATGGTATTCCGATGACAGCATCTGAGATTTCGGCGCTTAATGTTGCAAAGCGTGAGTATCAGAAACTGTACATGGACTACTGGAATAGCACAGCCGAAGTTACAGGTACGGGGCGTCCTGTTGATGCGCTCTTTTGTCCATTGGCGCCTCATGCCGCAGTCATTCCCAACGAATACGGGCCGGTGGGATATACTGGATTTGTGAATGTGCTTGACTATACTAGTCTTGCGATCCCAGTCACATTTGCCGATAAGAAGGTCGATGTGCGATCAGCTGATGAATCTGTGGATGGATCTGAGCACATCCAGTGGGATTGTGCGTTTTCCCTATACCTTCCCTCTTGTTATTCCATGCTGATAGTTCTGTAGATGATGCCGAGTCCTATGATGGGGCCCCGGTCGGAGTGCAATTGGTAGGGAGGAGATTGCAGGAAGAGAAGATGTTGACTCTAGCTGAGTATCTGGGCAAAGAGATTACTCAAGATGCGGAAGAGAGAGCGTGAGTCCAAAATACTAGATTGTATCTAACGCGTAATGCCTTTTGTTGCCCGCATGACGTCACTGTAACAAAGCACCTGCACCTAAACTACGATGAAAATGAAGGGGAGGGCATTCGTATGGGTATTGATTATCATGATATTCTCTAGTAGGAAGCGTAGATCCTGGGGCGGACAGACCAGACCAAGCCAGCTTCTGTGCCAAGCCAATGAAGTATGAATGATACCCCCCAGGCGGCTTGTCCGGTGCGTTTTCATAAATATTGTAAACCCAAACCAATCAATTCCTGGAGGACGAAGACGGGGTCGTCTGTCCCGAGGGTGCAGCAAGATTGGACAAATGAGGTGTGGAAGATCCCCAAGGTTTACCTACTGCAGAAGGCGGAGCATGGCCAGGATCGGACAAAGGACCAGATGGGTCTTCTGAGCCATTCATGAGGCGCTGTCGCTTAGCCGGAGGCAGTCCACCGACCTGGGGCATGCCACCAGGTAGGCCGCCACCGGGCGGGCTGCGAGGATCTGCAAAGGAGTGGGGTGAAGCGTAGTGGGTTGATGAAGCAGGGGTGGAGGCAGCTGCAGCGTCTGGGCTCAAAGCTGTAGCAGATTGCAAGGGGCGCAGGCGATTTGGATGAGAGGTGGTGTCTTCACCTGGGCGTGGGGGCCGGACATCAGGGCTTTGGTGAGGCTGACTTTGGTCTGGATCACCCAGCGGGCTGGGATTTCCATAACCAACCCCGACCCGGCCCATGCCCTTGTCGTGCATAACAACGCGTTTCCATTTGGCGACCACGCTGTCGTAGTCCCATCGCGTAGAGTCGGCACTGATATGGCTTTCTTGTGCGTCTAATTCACGTGCTACCTCCCGCGGTAGGGGGAGCGTATCTGGGGGGAACAGTGCGAACTCACGAGGCCATTGGCATGACCCGAGGCGCTCGACCTGTGCACGCAGCTGGTTTGCTTCCTGTTGCACTCGAGCGAGTTGCTCGTCTGAGGACTTCCGCTTCTCTACCTCTCGCGCAAATGCACGTGTGATCTCCAATTGCCACGCGTCGCGACGGGTCTCGTGGGACAGAGAATTCCAATGGTTGAAGGCCAATTCTAAGTGTCGGAAACTGATATCCTCGTGCTGTTGTGCGCTCCGGTATATCATGTTTGGATCCACCCCGCTATTCCCATGTCTCATATGCGGCGCAGCAGTCGCGTCTACTGCAAGTTGGTCGGTCTGCCATTGGGCGACCTTCGACCGAAGGGCTTGGCGGATTATATCGAGGTGTTCGGCGCCGGGAGGCTGGAGGGGAAACGAAGTAGACGAGGAAAACGGATGTGTTGCAAACAGGCTTGGTGGGGGAGGGAGCAGCTGCAGACACATGGAGGGGAAGGTCTGAGCTTGCATGTCGAAGTCGAACGGAGACAGCCGAGGCCGGATACGAGAGCTAATATTGTGTGAGAATGAGGGTTATATATAACGGGGGAAATAATTCAACATACCTCGCGGCTTTGATATTGTCAAGCACCTCACGCAGTGCGAGCTCCAGTGCCCGCATCGTATCCGGGTTGCTGGAGCTAGCTCCTCTGCTGACATAGTCCGGCAGATGCAACGACCCTGTCCGAGACTGCGATGGCGCAATTCGAGGGCCATCCGGCACGCGACTGGGGTTGGGAATATCATTGATCACCCCAGTCGCGTGCCAGGTGGGTGTGTTAAACATCATGCGCACCGGAGCCTCACGCGACTTCGATCTGGAGTCTGCAGTCGCAAACGGCTCTGAAGTTCCCTTTTTCTGGCTTCGTTCAGGACTGCCCTCGTTCTTTCCTGTGGATGTTCGGGCCTGGCGCCGGGTGATTCCGCTGCGAATTCGTCTGATCTCTTCGACATCGTGGATTCCGTCGGGTTTCTTCTTGAAAAGAAATTGGTCGAGGTGTCGACCTAATGATGAGGAAGTGAATGCCTGATGGCAGTACTGGCATTTGCGATCCTTCGAAGCAAGACTGGCCTTCGACTCGTCACCAGCAGTCGAGCCTTCGGGAGTATCTCTAGAGGTTTCGGTTTCTTCCTTCATGGTGGGAAAAGTAGAAAAGAGAGGTAAAAGGAATAGGTAGAAACGCCTTGATCTTAAAAAGTCATGGCATATGGTGTAATGCGGTCAGAAGTAGCCAGTGGTATAGGTAAAATTCAACGCGCAAGGTGAGAGGGAGGTGAGGAAGACAGAAAAATGCCAAGCTTTTGGGCGCGGAGCTGCGCGATGGGAAATTTTGCGGGCCAAAGCGCATGGAGATTTATCTATGTCAGACTGATTGATCTCTGATCAATTATATATATCGTGTGTAACCGTTTCAATGCTACCTATGCAAGTATTAAGTAGTCTCTGCAATGTAACTAGGTCACTCAGCCAATCGACTCAGCAGGATCGATCTAACTGTCTAGGTGTATACATATAGTACGTTGAGCAAATCAAAATCAAGGAAATAGTTCGTTCTTCCGGAGACTATTGCAGTAATCATGTATTTGTTATGACTATAGAGTCTGAGTATCCCCTATCCCCTACCTATCAAGACTCGAACATTATGTTGAGTGGATCACACACGATGCACTCATGCACACAGCATGGAAGACACGGTGTAACCACATTCAAGAACTGTCTTTGCCCTTTCTCGTCTTACGCGCACTGAACCAACGTTTCATGTTGCTCACACCGTGCAAATATAACCACGAGAAAACGAAAACAAGAGCAAAGTTGAAGATGACATATCCCCAGAAGATTCCCTAATATATATGTGATTAATCTCACCTCCCAGGTTCACCAAAGGGGTACAAAGCATGATACTCACATAATCTCTCCACTTGTGCGAGTAAAACACATTGATACTCTTAGCCTGCAGATAACAACAAAGTCCGAGTTAGCCATACTCCATCCAAGTCTGTTGATCAGGACACCGAAGCAAAGAACCTTGGGAGACCATGATAAAGCGCAACTTACATATTGATCACCATTGGAGTATTGGCAGAACGCGCACATTCCATTTCCAGCGTCTCGGACATATCCACCAGCCTTTTCGACATAAGACCCAGCATATTGTCGGCAGTTCATGCCAGCCGGAGTGCTGAAGCGAGATTCTTCACGCTCAATACAGCGCATTGGGACATTATGCGTGATGACTCCAACAAATCCCTCCAAAAGATAGTGGAAAGGCGTAAGCCAGTACATCCACGACTGCCAAAAATGCGGCAATGCGGCGTAAGGGACGACAACACCGCAGAAGGAAGCAATGAAGGTAAAGAAAGTCGGCACAAGCAAGCTAGCAAAGAGCTCGTTGGGTGCAAGTGCGGCTATGAATTGGCCAAGTCCAACATAGTATAGTTCGAAGACCATCAGCGACATCCAAACGTAGCCAGAGCTGAACGAGTCGCGCGGGAACCAAGTTCCCCAGTACCTTTGTTTATTTCTGTCAGACTTGAAAGATAAAATTATTTCTCAAGAGACACTTACCAGCAGTTAAAGTAAATTGACCCGGCAACAATCGAGTAGGGCAGTTCTGGGACAATTGTGCTCGTCACAAAGGCAACCCAAGAGTAGATCTTGGAGTTAGCTTCGCGAGATTTATAAAGTCCGCGAAAATGGATATATCGTGGTTGGAGTTGCTGTATTAACGGTGGAGCGATTGTCAACGTCATGAAGACAGAGAATAGCCGCGATTGCATGTCAATGGAGCTATCTCTAAGATGCCAAAATGTGAAGGTGTTGAAAAGGCCGGTAAAGATGTGAAGCATAAATTTGCCCTTGGTACTAATTAGCCAAGCCATTCATGTGTAGTGTTGGGAACCTAATAACTTACAAGGATGTAGTCTGGGCTTCTCCAGTAAGCCACGAATGCGCGCTTGGTGACTGCGACTACTTGAACATAGAGAGGCATTGCGTACTCGCGACCGTCTTTAACCTTCTCATCATCTTGAGAATTGCGACGGGAGGCAATGATATCCTCTAGACTCTCAGAAAGCCGGCTGGACTCTGGCGAGTTGGCCCATACATTGCCCCAGTCCTGACCTTTATAATCAGGGTTTCCGGCTCCAATGACTTCCAACATATACTAGAGAGAAGTTCAGCGGAAAACGATGACTCTAGTTTCATAATACATACCTCTGCTGGATTTTCATGCGGTGAGCACTTCCTCCCGCCATTTTGTTCAAAGTAATCAATCAACGTCCTGGAGTCATTTCCAAGGGGCCCGTTGTAAACTACACTTCCACCGCTTTTAAGCAGCAAGAGCTCATCGAAATTCTCAAATAACACGGCAGAGGGTTGATGGATTGTACAGAGAACAGCCTGTCCGGCATCTGCAAGTCGGCGAAGGAAGCGTACGATGTTGAATGCGGCCAGAGAATCGAGACCGGATGTCGGCTCATCCAAGAAAAGCAACAACTCTGGTTTACTTGCCAACTCTACTGCAATGGTGAGTCGTTTGCGTTGCTCCTGGTTGAGGCCTGAGCCCGCAGATCCAACGGTTGCGCCGGCGATGGACCGCATTTCTAACAGGTCAATGATTGTCTCACAATAGTCATACTTTTCTTGTAATGGGACTTCTTTTGGCTGCCGTAACAGAGCAGAGAACTGGAGAGACTCCCGCACAGTAGCGGTGGGTTCGTGAATGTCCATCTGCTCGGCGAATCCTGTCGCTCTCTGGAAACTCCTCGGGAGAGGCCTGAAAATATTAGAGTGCATATTTAATGAGCTACTTGAAGATTCCCTACCTTCCATCAACAAAGAAGTTGCCAGTGACCACACCAAAATTGATTCGCTGTGCTAGCGCATTGAGCAACGTGGTTTTACTGGTCAGACATTAGCATCGAGAACGTAGTCAACTTCATTATGTATCTTACCCTGAGCCAGAAGCTCCCATCAATGCAGTCAGTCGACCAGGCTTGACATATCCTTGAACATTTTGCAATAGTTGTCTCTGTCCACCCTTGTATGGAATGGTGTAGTTGACGTTTTGCCATGTAAATATTGCAGTGTTTTGAGCAATGTCCTGGACCTTGTCACTGGATTCTCCCGAGCTGCCGTCATTTTTGTTGGTCGCTATGCCATCCTTCTCTGCAGACTCTTCATCTTCTGGCGGGGCAGATCGTTTCACGATATCTTGAACTGCCTTGGGGGCTTCGCTTCTTTTAAACACCGTGACCGAGCAGCCACCTTTATTAGGTCTCTGCAATTCCATTCCCAACATCGTCAAACAGATAAAAAATATAAGCCATCCGATGATGATGCCGAAATTCCGCCACAGGTGTGCTCTGCTGTAAGTGTACGCCGTTTGGATATACTTGGGACCATGAACGACCAATTGGTCTGGATCACTGCCCTGGACTGCACAGGATTGGTGGCCAGACACCGCATTCGGCCCATCAGGCACAATGTAAGGTGGTTCACACTTTATCCGGAGATTATGGAACTCGTTGGCCATCAATCCCTCAAATGCGTATTGGACGGGGTTGATCCAAATGAGCCACTTTAACCACGGGTGCATTTTCCACGGAGGGATGAGATAGCCTGGATTATGTTGGCCATTAAATTTGAATGATAGTTTTCATTGCACTGTGCTTACCTGTGTATACAATCAATGCCTGTATGGCAACACCAGTGAGACGTGTGGCTATATAGTGTTATTGGAGACTTCTTGATACCGAGAGGTTTGTTTCACTTACCAACATCCAACGAGGAACATAGAGCCCCAAGAGCACGAAAGAATGAGTACATCGTCATTGTGAGAATGAAAATGAAAAGCAGATTTATGAAGAACTGCGAAGGTGTTCGCGCAAGGTTTGCCATGCTAAATACCTCGTCAGTATAATCAACTTGGATCATCCAATAGACTCACAAGTATACTATGATATCAAATAGAACGACTTGTATAAACACAAGAGGCACATCAACCACAACTTGGGCAAGCGCATAAGCTGCAGGGCGATAGAAAGAGCTAGAGAAAATTAGTCCTATCATTTTCCCTTTTCTTCCTTGTGGTCCTCACAAGCTTTTATGTTTCATCAAGATTGGTCGACTCTCAAATGCTGCTGTCAGCTCTGCCATAGCAAGCAATGCATTGAAAAGCAGTATAAAAAACATCACACCACCCCTCGTGAAAACACCATTGCTTAGGATGGTAAGCCATACGGAGTCTCGTTGCATTTGGAGGGGCAATTGCCTACCTTGTATCCGGAAGATTGTAAAACAAGCTGCCAACAATGAGGGCTTGGAAGGTTATCACACTCCACTTTCCGATCAATGACTCTCTATCACCAAACATTACCAGAAATTGACGATGTGTGAGGATCATAACTTGTTTATAGAATGAGATCGTGTAGTTTTTCCGCTTGGCGGTACTTCTTGCAGCCTCTCTCTCCTGCCTTTGGGCTTCGATTTCGCCCTCGAAACTTTCAATATCCGCCAGGTTGGCTCGATATGTATCACTTTTGCGATATGCAGCTTGAAATTCAGCTGCATTACGAGGGATTCGGTCACCCCAGCCAGCTTTAACACGTCGCGCATTGGGGTCACTGACAGAAGTCAAAAAGTCCGGGGTTGTCCAACGCGGGGGGCATTCAAAGCCCAGCCGTTCGAAGTAGGGTTTTGCATCCTGTGTTGGTCCGAAGAAAGAGCATTTTCCTTCTTCGATCAGAATGACCTTGTCGAACAGATCAAATAGATTTTCCGAGGCCTGGTAGAGAGCCACCACCGTTGAAACATTGGCGGTATTTGTTAGACTTCGCAAGCTTTGAACATACTCCAGCGCTGTACTGGCGTCTAAGCCCCTGGTAGAGTTGTCCCAGCACTGGGTGCTAGCCTTTGTAACCATAGCTTCAGCAATTGAGGTTCGTTTCTTCTCACCCCCGGAAACTCCACGAATGAGCTCATTGCCAACTCTAGTTCCCAGAGCATGTTCAATCCAGAACAGCTTCGCTATGGCAGACAAGAATGTATCCTGATATTCTTTTCGGCTTTCTCCTGGGATTCGTGAAGCTTTGTCCGGAGTTCGGGATTTCAGGGCAAAAAGCAGTGTATCTCGCACTGTCAAAGTTGCGTAATGGAGATCGTCCTCGGGGTTGTACAAGACTGATAGTTTTAGTTCAGAATCGTAATCACACAGACAATGACCCACCTTCAGACCTATACTGCTTCGCCATCTTTTCTGAATCGGTGCCGCCATACCGCACATCCCCTTCAATGCTTTCGTAGCCCGCTCGTTGATTGCCGAGCACTTTTAAGAAAGTGGAGCAGCCGGAGCCAGGGCGGCCCAAAACAAGAAGCATTTCCCCCGGACGAACACAGCCCTGAATGCAAGATCAGTCAAGCCGACATCTGGTGGTTATCAATGGACCTACAGTAAAATCATCCAAGATCGTTCGTATCGGTGCTTTTCCGGCCCCGACACCCTTCCTTCCCCGAGTGAATAGTTGCTTAATGAACCGTGGCAACCCGAGGAAAATGTCTCCGTTGGTAGGTTGGAGAGCGGCTCCAAGGCCCACGCCCTTCACGGTGAGATATTTCCATACAACTCCAACATGACGTGTTTTCTCATCTTCGGAATTTGCTCTGCGCTCAGAGCCGAACATCCGAGAAATCAGTCTTTCTATTTGGGCCCAGTCCTCACCTTTGGTATCGTGACCGGAGACATAGCTGCGCCGGAGAGATATAGTACGCTCGACACCATCATCATCTAACCTTGGCCCTGTGGAATCTGCCGGGGAGCCTGATGGGGTCGTGCGGATTGGCGCGAATTCTTCGGGTGGACGTGACCCGACTGGCGAAGATGGACTCTCAGAGGAAGAAACGGAATTTCCAGCAATACGTTCTGTGTTTGCAGCTAATGTGAACTTGCTTTCCACAGAGTCGTTGCTTGCCATCGTCGTTATTTTCAGGTTGAGCTAGAGACCTTTTGAAATACCGATCTTCAACCTAAATCCCTGTGCTACACGATTATGAAACGACGTGATGTCGGATGACCATGGGTCTAGATGTAGGTGGGTGGGACGACTCGGTTGGCAATAGGACATACAAATGGAATCACTTCACATGGATATCATGGATATGAATGAAACGAAAATGAACATTTCGAGAATGTAGGTATTACGTCAATCATCATCGCGAAAACCAGATCTCGGGAGGTCGGAACAGGAACGAACCGAAATATTACCAGTACTTTTCTCATTTGCTGATCCTTATAGCTGAACAAGCCCAGAAACAGGTATCACCTTATCTAGTGAGGTCATCAAATTCAATCATAATCGTGCGGTTTGTAATCCCTTTCTGGGCTTATTCGAAGTAATGATATTAACCATGAACTACAGTTCGCCCCAAACACGAACAATTAATTGAAGAGAGATCTTTACATCTCTTAAACTTCTCGCGGGTGGCAAAAAACATGTGATGTATATAAATCTCCCCGCATTTCGAGGTATCTCCAATCATGAAGTCATAGATTGTACAACATAGATGTTTGTATAATTAGTCATTCGTTCTCAACCTTGTATTACGGCTACCTTTTGCATTTGTAGTTTTAATTATCCTGATTGTACAATCGCATTTTCTGATGTCTGTTGTTATATAATCACGCTGACTGTCTTGCAAGGTCATATCGAACAAGAAGCTTCACTCCGATTCGAATTTATTTCTTTTTCTGATATTATCCTTGCTCTTGGGAATGCTTTAGTCGTTTTTATTTTTTATTTTTTCATATAATTCGAAATAAATACTGATGGGATGAAGCGCTTTGTCGTCCTAATACCTGGGAAATGATATTCAAGTTGATGAGCGTGTGTAGGTCCTGTTTTTGATTTATGAAGATAAATCCTGTGGATATTTAATTTTCAAGTAGATCATGCGAGTTTTGAGGCTTTTCAATTTGGAATGAAGCAGTACACACCCGGAGACTGAATAAGCAGTGCTGTCAGCATTACCTACCTACGTACGTATTTGGGGGTGTATAGGGCGTCCACGGGATTTATTCCCGCCGGCGTCTGCTGGCTCATTCTACTATGGCACGAAAAAACTCTAGTTGTCGGTTTACCAAACAGTCATGATCAAAGTAATTTTATTATCATGATCTCGTCATTCTAGAAATGATAGGTAGGCATGTCGGACAACTGCTGACTATCGTACAGTTATGAACCCAAACTAGAGCTGGACAAACTGGTCACAAATAAAATATCTACCTTGACAAAAGGTACAAATAGTTATTGTGAAGAAATACATAAATATTTATCGGCTCTCATTTACCGGAGAACTTATGGAGGTTCAGTGAGATGAGCATTAAAGAACTATGAACGGACCGTCGTTCCCCGATCAGAAATAAGGCAGCACGCCATGATTACAACATACTACTCTCAAATTGAGTAGTGATAAAGCTTTAGGTTCCAGTTTGAGAGTAAGTAGATGTAGCTCTCAGCCTAAAAATCACTTTGGCTTCTTCTGCAGGTACCCTTATTGCAACTCTGATAGTAATGAAGCCCCGTCGCGCTCACAGGTTCCTCCGAAAGGTGTTGGAGTTTTTCCATTTATCTGCTCCCTCTTCCAGACGTGAAGTCAAAGCCCGCAGCAAGTAAGCCTCCAGATTTCTGTATTCGTTGTCGAAAATTAACGAGCGGTCCAGTGCTAAGCTGTGGTGTGTTGCTACCACCACACCTTTGCACAGCATTTCAGCTAGCCGAGGATGTGATCATGTTGAAGTGAATGGCCAAGTTATTGATCCTCCGCAGTATACCTTTGGTGGTACCGCCCTTGAAAAGCCAGTCTCAACCCACAGCCAACTGGAGCATCGCATCGTAAAACTCTGGAAGAAAGTGTGGCTGGGTCTTTATCAGATCGATGACAACGAGGATCGATACCATGTCGAGCGACTTGAAGCACTTTCTCTCGGGGCCGGCTTAACTCGCACATACCGAGTTGGCGAGCTTCAAGTTCTCAGGCGTCATTTTCTTCGAAGTGAGACCAACAATGGCATAGCTTCGTTGAAGCTTTTCCCGGGTCTGTCTCTTTCGACCCTCCTATCTGTGATCCACATTTTGGAGGCTTATGAATGTGAAATTGAGAACATGAAGCTGCTCTACTCCATCCTGCGAAGTGGTCAGCTTGCACTGCATGAGACTGCTGGCCTTGCTCAAACTGCTGTTGTTAGGACTGAGTATATGGAAATTGCGGAGCCGATGGAGAAACGTATCAGACAGTACGATATTCGAATGAATGTGGTGAATATGGACATCTGCGATGAGGCAATGGGTTTCTATCAGCGACAAAAGGGGGAATATATTTACCACAAGGCATTCCCAAATGCGTGGTAAGAATGTGTGTTTTTGGATCTACTGTGTCTCTTTTCGCTATTAGATGTATTGGGGGACGTTGAATACAATCAGTATGATTTGGATGAAATATTAATTTAATGTCCCATTTAGTTGAGTACTAATTATACTCATGGTGTTATTAAAGTCTTGTGAAGTATTGTGAGGCACCAATCTGCAATGATAAGGCTCTCTAAGCGTGCTTGCGAGATTGGGTAAACAATAATTTCAAATCTCACACTATCAGCATTTAAGAATCGAGAGACCGTTGTTAGAGGTTGCAGAGCTCTTTTGCCTGATTCCGCCAATAGGCTTCAGCTGTGCATTCCACTGCACTCCATTCAAGATTCACTACCTCTTGTTACCAAGGATGTATCCATAACCATAAGATGAATCTACAGAGCCAACCTTTTTGACACACAGGGACGAGTCGGATGAAATTTAGCTCAATTAGAGCCGGTGTTTCGATTAACCCATATGTCCCACCAGAGCATACCGAGGCCATGACCTACCAAATGCCATGTCACAACTTCGGTTGGTATGCCAAGTATGCCAATAAGGTATGCACCCCTATATACATCCATGAATATTTGTTTATTTGATTTGAATATAAAAATTATTTAACGACTCATACCTGAGGTCGATCCGGCCTAACGGTCCCTTTTACCTTTACACTGTCCGTCTCACCCTCGCCCTTTTTACTCTTGCCAGGTTCGTTCACGTATGGGTTCATGGTATCCCAGTTATCCAAACCTTCCTGCTTGAGTGAAATGCTTCCAGTTCCATCGGGTGGGCCCATGCCTCGAGGCTATGTGAAGGTTAGATATGCATTGTTTCGACGGCCTGGATTGTCAAATGACTATAATGCCAACCAAGCCCTGAGAATAAAATGTGAGAAGGAATAACGAACCTCATCCCGACTAGAAGATCCTGAGCTGAGATTCTGTCCAACGTCTTGGTCTCTCTCTGCCCTTTGACTATACTCTTGATTTGCTCCGCGTGGCTTTGTAGAAGGCTTGGTGCTAGGCATCTTTGTATCACCTCTCTGCCATAGGTAGATCGATATTGGTAATCCTAGAGCAATTGATACTAGTAACCTATCGAAAAGATAAAGTCCAAGTCAGATGCGATATCTGAAATACATGTCAAAAAAAAAAAAAAGACTAACCATCGGGAATTCTTTGTCTGGCCACTTGGCTTTTCAGTGGCAAAGCATCTTCGAGTAGAGGTCGGCCGAGGTGATCGAAGTCCCACGGATGGGGGGATATGCTGTCTCACTGCTGTATGTGGAAATGAATGGCGGATAAAGTTCATACTGAAGGTTCGATGATACCTAAATATAGTAAATGGGACTATGAAGTCAGGTATATTAGAAAGAAGGGCCAGTGATCTAGAGCTGTATATAAATTTCAAACGTCTGGTGACATCATGCGACTTCCCGGACTTGCTTCCAAATAGTAACTGTACCAGGCTTACGTACTCTCAGGCTTCCAATAGGAGTTATAGGATTTTATTATGGGTACAGGTTTAATGATGACGCATCTGGAGGAACTAAAGGCACACAATGTTACAGGTAACCATCTGGCAAAATGGTAGTTTTTTATTCTCCAAGACCTTCTTGATAAATATCCTGAACCTTACTAGACACTCCGAATTTAAGGTTTCCTTCGGCGTCGCTCTACTAACAGTTAACATCAAGAAACGGATAACCCGAAGAGGCTCTGCTCTAGTCAACCCAATTTTGTGGATTGCTTGAGCCTATCAGTCAGGAACTGGGGCTTGAGATCAATGCAATAGTGAGAACGAAATGTTCGGAAATGATTCGAATAGGCACTGTGCGGGAGACTTGATCCAGTCTGTGGATTAAATAGACATGCGTTTATTGTATGAACCATCATCTCGTCAGTGTGACATCTATTAATGGGCATCAAGAATCTCTATCAGGTTATGCTGAATTTATAGCCGGCATTCGTTAAATTCCACTACGGCAGGGAAAAAGCATGTACACATTGCAATTTGTATTAGAGTCGAATCTCAAATGAATGAAAAAAAGAAAAGATATCATACACTAATCATTCTCACAAACCGATCACCAAGGGCATTTGCCGCCGCAGGATTACCCGCCGAGACCAGCTCCCGATGCAATGTAGTACCGCCAGTCTTTTCACGTACACCCTCAACCATCACTGCACCTTCGTTTCTCAAACTCGACTCTACTTTCTCGACCTCGCCACCCCATAATGTTTCCATAAGATTCTCTTCCGCATCGCTCCACGATGTAATTTTGTATCCATTATAAACAAATGACCCATCACCCGCCTTCTTCGTACTCAACAAGGCATAAGGCCCGTGGCAAATCACAGCTGTGGGCTTGTTCTCTTGGTGAAAATAACGCAGAATTCGCCCCAGTTCTGCATTCGCTGCCAGATCCTGAAGTGGTGCGTGTTCACCTGGGATAAAAACAGCCGCGAAGGTGGCTAACTCATTGTTGCTGATGGTGTTGAATGGTCGTGGGGTGCGAAACCCATTATCTCGCTTCATGCGTTCGACAAGACTGTATTCTCGCTGAC